TTTTTGTGCCCCCGTAGAGTTAACAGACTTATTAGAAGTTTGTTTCCAATGCTGTTTAACATCTGCATAAAGCTTCTGGGAGAAATCCAGAGGAGTGGCTCTGTGTGTTATCAATATACTGATGACACCCAGATCTATTTCTCCTTCTGATGCTTCTTCTATAGATAGTTTCTCCTCTCTGAATGACTACCTGAGGCTGGTAATGGGCTGGATAGGGAAAGACAAATTAAAGTTGAATCCAGACAAAAGGAGGGTGCTTGCTATTAAGGGTTCAAATCCAGGATTAGGGATATGTTAATTGGTTCCAGATGGGGTCACACTCCCCCTGAAAGACTGAGTTTGCAGTTTAGGGGTTCTGCTTGACCTGGCTTTTGAGATATCAGCACAGACAGAAGCTGTGTTCACGAAAGACAGTTATCAGCTTTGGCTGATTCTCCAACTTCCTGGAGGAAAGTGACCTGAAAACAGTAGTGTATGCATTAGTAACAGTAGGAAAGAAGTCCCTGCAAATGTTACCCTGCTAGCTGAAATGGCTATAGGGGGCGGTCCTTATCTTCATTTCAGTGGCCATGAGCCAGTGTTGTCCAAAGACATACCCTTGGTAACTGACCAGCATGTTGTCTCATACCACTGTTTCCTTCCCACCAAAGTCCTCTCTATTTAACTACTCTCATTACATGCTTTCAAATTGCTAGGTTGACAAGAGTGAGGGACAAATCAGCAGGAGATTAAAAGTGCCGAGTTTCCAGTTGGCAGCCCAGCGGGTCAGCAGGTTAACCCTCTGTGCCACCACATCCCCACAGTAATAGTAGTGTATGCACTAATACCTGTAATGTGCTCCTCATGGGGCTACCCTTGTGCCTACTCCAGAAACTGCAACTAATACAAAATATGGCAGCCAGGTTGGTCTCTGGCTCATTATGGGAGACCATATATCACCAATACTAAAGTCTCTGTACTGATTAGCAAAATGGTTCCGGATGCAGTGCAAGGTGTTGGTAATTACCTCTAAAGCCCTTCAAGGTTCAGGGCCAAAATACTTTCAGGGGCACCTTTGCCCATATATTTTGCCTTGCCTCTGTGGATAATCTTCTGAAGCTTGCTTCTGTAGATTAATGTCTGCTACCCAGAATACTCTTTCAGTGATTGCTCCGAAACTACAGAATGGCCTGCCAGAAGAAATACGCCAGATATCCCAGATTGCCACCTTGAAGAGGCAGTTAAAGATGTATCTTTTCTGACAGACTTTCCTAGATTAGTTCCCAGACTAATTTAATATGCTTGTTTTTAGATGAAATTTTATCTGTTGTTCTTTTTAACTCTTGTAAACTGTCCAGAACCTATAGGAATGGACAGTATAGAAAAATAAAAATAAAATAAATCAATTTAAGAACAGCTTCTTTATGAATACCAATAATTTATTTACTTGAGATACTTCTATACTGCCCTTTATAATATCTATTCTAGTGTGCTTTATGATAAATTAAATCAACGATAATACAAATATAGTTGTACCTTATTTTATTATGCTTCACAGATATAGCATTTTTTACAAATTGAAGGTTTGCAGCAACCCTACATCGAGCAAGTCTGCCAGTGCCATTTTTCCAAGAGCATTTGCTTACTTTATGTCTCTGAATTACACTTTGGTAATTCTCACAATATTTCAATATTTTTCATTATTATTACTTTTATGCTGATCTGTGATCAGGGATCTTTGATGTTCCTATTGCAAATGTTTTGGAGTGGCACAAACAGTCCCCATATAAGATGGAGAACTTAATTGATAAATGTTGTATGTGTTCTGATTGCTCTCCCATCTTTCTTCCTCTCCTTCTCTGAGACCAGAGAAATTAGGCCAGTAAATAACCCTACAATGGCCTGTAAGTGTTCAAATGAAAGGAAGAGTCCCACTTTATAACAAAAGCTATAAATGATTAGGCTAAGTAAGGAAGGCATGACACAAGCTGAGATAGACTGAAAGCTAGGCCTCTTGCTCCAAAGTTAGCAAAGTTGTAATTGCAAAGGAAAAGTTATTGTAGGAAATTAAAAGTGCTACACCAGTGAGCACACAAAATGATAAGAAAGTGAAACAGTCTTATTGCTGATAGGGAGAAAGTTGTAGTGGTCTGAATAGAAAACCAAACCAGCCACAGAATCTCTGAAGCCAAAGCCTAATCTAGAGCAAGTCCCTAACTCTCTTTAATTCTACAAAGTCTGAGAGAAGGGAGGAATCTGCAGAAGAAAAGTTTGAAGCTAGCAGAGGTTGGTTCATGAGGTTTAAGGAAAGAAGCCATATCTGTAACATAAAGTGCAAGGTGAAGCTGCAAAAAGTTATCCAGAGGATCTAACTAACATAACTGAACAACAGATGTAGACAAAACAGCTTTATGTTGGAAGAAGATGCTCTCTAGGACATTCATAGCTAGAGAGGTGAATCAGTGCCTGGCTTCACAGGATAGGATGACTCTATTGTTAGGGGCTAATGTGACTTTAAGTTGAAGCCAGTGCTTATTTACTATTCTGAAAATCCTGGGGCCCTTAAGAATTATGCTAAATCTACTCTGCCTGAGCACTATAAATGGACAACAAAGCCTGGATGACAGCACATCTGTTTACAACATGGTTTACTGAATATTTTAAGCCCACTGTTGAGACCTACTGCTCAGGAAAAAAGATTCTTTTCGAAATATTACTGCTCCTTGACAATGCACCTGATCACCCATGAGCTCTGATGGAGATGTACAGTGAGATTAATGTTGTTTTCATGCCTGATAACACAACATCCATTATGCAGCCCATGGATCAGGGAATAATCTTGACTTTCATGTACTATTATTTAAGAAATACATTTTGTAAGGCTATAGCTGCCATAGATAGTGATTCCTCTGATGCATCTGGCCAGTGCTTTTTTTGTTAAAAAAAAAAAAAGGTGCCGGAACTTGGGATTGGTGTGTGTCCTTACTGCCGATTGGAACTTTACTGTCCCAGTCGGCAGTAAGCACACACACCAGTCCCAAGCGGAGCAGCATCCCAAGCAGCTATCTCTCACTATCGGATAGCAGATCGCAGACACAATAGCAGCCTGCAGGCACTATGTTAATGATGATCTGCTGATCTGCTACTTCAAAATCACTTTGTAAAATCCATTGAGAAAAAGGTGCCGGAACATTGCGTTCTATGACAAAAAAAAGCCCTGGATCTGACTAAAGTAAATTGAAAACAGTCTGGAAAGGATTCACCATTCTAGATGCTGTTAAGAATGTTCGTGATTCATGGGAGAAGGTAAAAATATCAGCATCAATGGGAGTTTGGAAAAAAATGATTCCAACCCTCATGGATGACTTTTAGGAGTTCAAGACTTTGGGGGAGGAAGTAAGTCTAGTTGTGATGGAAATAGCCAGAAAAGTAAAATTAGAATATGTAACTTAACTGCTGCAATCTCATGATAAAACTTGAATGGATGAGGAATTGCTTCTTATGGATGAACAAAGAAAGTGGTTCCTTGAGATGGAATCTATTTCTAGTGAAGATGCTGTGAAGGTTGTTGAAATGACAACAAGGATTTAGAATATTATATAAACTTAGTTGATGAGGCAGAGACAAATTTTGAGAGGGTTGACTGCAGTTTTGAAAGAAGTTCTACTGTGGATGAAATTCTATCAAACAGCAAAACATGTCAAAAGGAAATATTTCTGGCAAACTTTACTGTTGTCTTATTTTAAGAAATTGCCACATTTGCCCCAGCCTTTGGCACCCACCACCCTGATCACTCAGCTGCTACCGACTTCGAGGCAAGACCCTCCACCAGCAAAAAGATTAGAACTTGCTGAAGGCTCAGATGATGGTTAGAATTTTTTTTAGCAATAACGTATTTTAATTAAGGGATGCACATTTTTAGGCACAATGGTATTGTACAGTTACTAGACTACAGTATAGTATAAATGTAAATTTTATACACACTAGGAAAAAAGTTGTGTGCATATTTGCTTTATTGTGATAGTGGAACCAAACTCACAGTATCTCTGAGGTATGCCTGTACTATAGCAGCAGAAAAACAAACACAAATTAAATTGAAAATTTAGGCAATTCAAGCAACAAAGTGAAATAAAAACAATTTAGTTCCAATATTTAAAATACAATTGGCATATTTCTTAAAATCCAATTCATTGAAAAGTCTGTGAAAATAGCAATAGCTTAAATCTGTGTGTTGAATTGGGCCCTACCAAGTAAATGCCCTTCCTTGATTTCAGACCTGGCAGAAGAATTTCAGGGGAAAGCAGTCTTCTAGCTCTGTTGAAATAGTTTATGTTCCTAGGAGTATGACAAAGTCTAGAATTTTTTCTGCCATAAGTCCTCCCTGATATGTCCTGTTTTTCTGAGGAAAAGCCAATGAAGAATCCCAGAGCACACTGGGAAAAGGGGCATAATTTAGAATTGGAACAAATCTAAATTGGTCCAGATGGATTATTTCAGGAAATCAAGCATCTAATTATAACTTTATGGAGAGCTGTGGAATCTGCCTGGTAATATCTGTTACATAATTTGCATGTAGGTGATAGCTGTGATTCCTTGTAGCCATAGATATTTTGTTCATTTTATTGTGCTAAACTAGCAAACAGGCTCATGAATGATGGAATGCATACTACTGATGGAATCAAAGGACATTTTATTATTGTGGCTTGCCAGAACAGCTTGAAAGACCTCACTGGGAGGCTAGCTGCTAAATGAGAGATGGGCACCAAGCCATCAAACCAATGTGATGGGAGAGGAGAAGGCTCTTAAGACCAAAGGTTGTAAGGCACAATTTAATGCATGGGCAATATTTAATAATCTGCTTGTTATGTCAACATGCCCATGGCTAGGTCTGTTCTGAGTTTTGCTTCAAGACTTTGGACATTGCATTTGTATAAAAGACTAACATTCCATTATCTTCCAGTACCTGGGCCTCTTCTAAGAACCACTGTTTAACATTTTCCTTTCTTTTTTCCCCGTGGCAGCTCCTTCACAAATTGCTTTAATCCAAGCTAAAGAAATAACAAGACACAGTGTGGCATTGGCTTGGCTGGAACCTGATAGGCCGAATGGAGTCATACTGGAATATGAAGTCAAATATTATGAAAAGGTATTATTCATCCTGGAAAAATGACTTTTTCCCTATTATGTTTGAATCCAGGGCCAAATAGATCTATCCTTCTTATCATGTAAATGACCATTATTAATGGAAAATTCTTTTGCCTTTGTAATCATATCCCGTTTGACATTTCATACATTTGAGCAGTGGCACGGATAACATATTTTAAGTTCTTCTTGCTTTGTAGTAGTGGTGGCACTTTTTCTCTCTCTCCCTAGGAACTATCTGATTCCAGTGGGGCTATTTATAATGAGAATCAATAGAGCAGAGAAGTAGTGCAACATTAGCCTTACAATGGAGACAGATGTGTAATAATGAAGTATATAACACTGCAATAATAATGAGCTCTGTATGAGCTGATAGCTTTTGCCTAGAATGATGTTGGGGGTTTGATAGATTTTAATAGAAAATAGGGAAAAGAAAATTACATTCTTTACCTCCTCCAAGTTACATGGAGACATTATTTCTACAAATAATTTGTTCCTTCTCCATTTCAGAACTATGGAAAGAGCTATTTCCTCTCAAGGTTGTCTGAAAAATGAACAATTACTTTTCCCTTCTCTCTTTCACTTTCTTTAAAGAAAATAATCACTTTATTTGCTTTCCTAATAATGCCAGAACTGGATTGTAGATTTTCACTGGAACAGCATTTTTTCCCCAACAGATTTTGCAGGCAAAAAAACAGAATAAATGACATCCCATATTGCTCTTCATATGACCCTTTCAGTACAACTAACTTGCAAAATAGTCCTGTTTCTTTGACCTAACTTTATGTATAGTGCAATTATCCCTTAGTAAAAATTTATTAAGTCTCCAAGTCCTTGACTTATGTTTAGATTGGTGGTCACCAAGAATTAAGTAAACTGGAACATGATCTGAGAGAGACTGAAAACCAGTATCTGTTTCTAATATTTTTGTTAGTAGAACTGGAAAAACATATATACTCCAACTCTAGAATAACATGAATTTCAAATTGTACAGAAGGAAAAAGTTTAAGTAGTGGGTCTTTAAAATGCAAGGTGCCTATCAAATGTAGAGGGGGAAAAACCACTAGATAGAAGGATATTGGCAAATTGCTTATAGAGCATGTATAGGATTTTCTGTATTCCCAAATCTAAAGTTGGAAAAAGAGCTCTGACCACAGAGCTGGGGATCCATGCTCAGATCTGCCACCCTCCACTGTCTTTTGCTAGCAAATGGTAAAGGGGAGTGTTGTGGCACATTTGGAGGGGAGAAGAACTAAGGCTTCCAGATTATGTACCCTTTGGACATTCTAGTCTCACCCCAGCCAGCTGAAGTTTTGCAGCTAAATGGCCAAACTGAACATCCAGCTGACTTGCATGGTGGGGGTTCCTGGGAGGCCAAGAACATCTCCACTACTTCTCCTGTCTGGCATGCAGTTCCTGTGGTCTTCCCAAATTTGGCAGTTCACAACCTTGTTGATTGGCTTATGCCCATCTAGAGCAGCATTAGCTCTTCCAAAGATCATTATCATCTTCAACAAACTCTAAGATGACCTCAAATAATTTATTATAGGACAAACCTTGCCTCTGATTAAGCACATATAAATTAACCAATGTCACTTTCTTGTTCATCAAATTCCGGTTTATCCCTCTACATTTTGTTCTGGTCAGATGCCTCATAAAGAACACACTGCCACTCCTTCAGTTTAGAGATTGCCACTGCTTTAGTTTTGGAAAATGCACAAGCAACAGAAACTTCCAACACCTAACTAATCCAAGAAATTTTTGTAACTCAGCTAGATTAACAGATTAATTAGTTGGAAGATCATTGCTCTATTCAAAACCAAATGTAATACAAGAGTCTAGTTTGTCTCACAAGAACTAGATATTAAGTTATTACTTAATTCAGAAATGAGAGAATACAGTCAAACTTTAATGGCAGTGTTGTTTCCAGTTGATTGAAAGGTAAATTGACAAGTTTGTTACATGATTATCTAATTTCAAGTTTTTACAAGCTTCAGTTTAAATGCAAAACTCCGTCTTTCATATGGAGGAAAGCACAACTGCAATCCAAATGAATTAACAAAATTGATTCATTGATTGATTGAATTTAGAACATGACACACTTTAACTTATAGAAAAAGCACAAGTATAGTTCAAAGCATGATGGGTGTCCCACATTTACAGTCCTAGCTTCATGATCAGAGGCCCTCATTGCTGAGATTCAAATAACCTTATGCCCCCAGCAGGATTGTCAGGAGGCTATGTGATTGTACCCTTAACCAGATAGAAATACCATTATGTACTTGACAAAATAGGCAGTGATTGACAGGGGATAATAGACAAGGGAGACACAAAATGATTAATGCTTTGAAACTAAACAAATACCTTGAACTAATAGTCTACCTGCTGAATTTTACACAATATTTGCTGATTTGTTGCTAGTAAAGTGCCACTAAAGAATTTGCTTGATGAATACATTACTATATCAAAGATTTCTGATTGGACTGAAGCAACTATATAAGGAAAATAAAAATCTGTCATTAAATTCATCTTATCATCCAATATAAACCAAAATTATAAAATTTATATCTAATTATGCAAAAAGATCATACAACTTTATCTCAATATATATTAATCCTATTGGGTAGGCTTTCTGATCAGACAAAGATAGCAGTGAATCTTCTGAACAAATCCTGTTTTAGTAGTGAACTGTTTTTACTTTGTAGGATGCTTTCAAAAATTTTCAGGTGGAACACACACACACACACACACACACACATGGTGTTACAGAGATCTGGTGTTGGAATATCTTTCTTGAATTAAATCAAGCCCCTAGGTGATACACCAAGTTTCACAGATTTGATAAATAACAATAATTTAGAAACATTTCAAATATGTGGAGGAGCAGAAAACTTTTGTACTTTATTTGCTCAACTTTTTTGTATCCTATATTGACCCTTTAGCAGTCATATTGTAATATCCAGTATCGGAATTGGCTGAAGTAAGTAGTTTCTATGCAGCTGATTTATACTTTCTTTAACAAATCCCCTGGGGTCTATTCCTACACTCCATATGTCTATATTTGATTTGGAAATATATGAGAATATAAAGTAAATATTCACAAGAAACAATATATATGCGTCTTAATACTCCATTAGAAATTAAGAATATTGTAGCATACAAGTAATGGAATCTGGTGGACCCTTAAACCAGTGAAAAACCTAGGCATTAATTTAACTTTTGAGGAAAATAACAGTGTAATTATCAGGCTTTGTTTGATGCTGTTATGGCAGACTTTTAAAAATGGTCCCATATAGGAATCTCTTGGACGTGCAGAATTGCTATAATTCAACTGAATGTAATACTAAGGATTATTGTTTGTTTTTGAAAACAGGAAAAACATCATTAGCAGTACTAAAAATGGCAGCTTATATGGCTATATTTTATATGGGATGGGAAGGGAAGGGATGAGACTTAGGACTAATTTGCACAATGCTCAGCATATGTGCTAGTACAACATGGTATGTGGGTGAACAAAAATGTGCCATAGTATAAAGAATGAAAATCAATTACTTGCAATGTATTCTTAATGTTGATGGATAGTGTGTGGATGTCCATAGCATTATTTAGAGTCTCACTTTCAATCTCAGAGACTAGCTTTGATGTCTGAATGGGGACTCCAAGTACAGGTGAGCACCTGTGTCCATAACTAGTGCAGAAAGAACTACAGTGAAGTCTCCTCTGAAGTCACAGAGATAACCTGGAGGAAAAGGCTGAGTGGGGACTCCAGGGACTGTCAGGAGAAAAGACTGGCACCCCTATGATATGAGGGGTGCTTTGGCCTCCTTTTTCCCCACTCTGAAGCAGATGCCTGATATTTGCAGTATTCTGGGGTGGGGGAAACACAAAGCTGAAATCAGGAATGTGAGATGCATTTTCTTTGTCTGGCTATTATGTTGTTCATAGTTTGCATTTCTTGATATATAGGAAAATTATTTTTAGAAGAAAACAAGAAAAGCAAAATAGACCATTACAGTATTATAGGGAGAGAAGTTGGCAGGGATTCCCCAAGCCCTTTTAGAATCTATAGTCCTTAACTGAAGGAGCGCTTACATCCATATATGCCCAGTTGCCCCCTGAGATCGGCGGGAGAGGCCCTTCTCCGGGAGCCCTCCGTGAGAGAAATTAGGAGGGTGGTTACTCGGAGGAGGGCTTTCTCAGCGGTGGCGCCTAAGTTATGGAATGCGCTCCCCAGAGAGGTCCGCCTGGCGCAGTCGTTATTTGTTTTTCGGCGCCAGGCGAAGACCTTTTTATTTAAGCAACATTTTAAATGTTAATACTACTGAATTTTATCTGGCCAGGGCGGCTTATTTTATATTGTGTGTATATTGGATTTTAAATTATTATTACTATTCTATATGTATATTTTAATTTATGTGTTTTTATTTATTGTTGTAAGCCGCCCTGAGGCTTTGGCGAATGGGGCGGCATAAAAATGTTTTAATAAATAAATAAATAAATAAAATTATAGGAAGGGAATGGAATCTCTGCAAATAGCAATTTGCTCATTGGGAGAATTGTGACAACAATCCCAAATGTTTTCCAAAGAATTCCACAGTGCTCTTCTTTTAAGCAGCCATCATTACCTGATCATATAACTTACTCTTCAGGCATCTTTTATCTCTTCCCAGGCAAGGAAGAATGATAGCATATATAAATCCACTGGTCTTACTATAGCTAATAATAAGAAAAGCTTTCAGAGAGTTTGAAAATTCTGTCTGCAATAGTAATATCACCATAATAGATCTAGCGATGGGTAAAGTTCAAGGGTTCGCAAAGCCATGTGATTTCTGTTCACTGCATGTTTTCTTTTCCTTGTTAGGACCAAAATGAGCGTAGCTATCGCATTGTGAAAACAGCAGCCAGAAATACAGATATCAAAGGCTTGAATCCTTTGACTTCGTATGTCTTCCATGTGAGAGCAAGAACAGCAGCTGGCTATGGTGACTTCAGTGGGCCATTTGAGTTCACAACTAACACAGGTAATAACAGCCCATTTTCCATTGGTCTTTACAATTTCTTTCCCCACCACCATTTTGAATGGACACTGTATTTACTTTGAGTATAAATGCATTTCTCATTGGTCTGAAATTCGTTCTTTTCTATATGTGGCTGAAAAAGCTCTGTGTCACAGACTTTTGTTTTCTTTGTTTCACCTCATATTGTGACTGGGGGAAATTTCCCCCAAAAGGGAAAGAAGAATCTAAACAGGGCTTCATCCTTTATCCATTTTCCAGGAGCATGACTGCAAAGGATAAGTCTCTTGCAAATGCTCTTGCCAGATGAGTGCAAAATTTAGTTTAATTTATTTATTGTATTTGTATGCCACCTCATCGCCTGGGGGCTCTCTTGAAACACCCACTGTGGTTTCAAATGCTGCTGCATTTTCCTTTGCTCATCCCAGGGCCCACACACCTTACCAAGACAAGAAGGATGCAGCAGCTTTGACACTCAGAATACCCATTTCTCATGTGAGAAAGGGATTTGGACTATACTTCCTGGCATCCCATATGGAAAAATGCTATTTGTGTCCATTTCTATCGGGCTTTTAGCAGTGAAACTGACACAAATAACATAATTTCCTTCAGGGGATATTAGGATGTCCCTTGCATAGGAAATGGGCAGGAACTACCCATGCAGTTTATATCTTGCCCTTAGGTGGATAGAGGAAAATAGATGATGGCAGTGAAGCTAGTAGCAGGATTGCTTTTGTTTGATTGGGGTGGAGGTATCATCTACTTCAGGCAGCAAAATATCAGGGATTGGTCCTGGTTCATAGAATCAGTCAAAGGGCCTTTTGCAGGGGCTTAAGGGTTTCAAGCCTGTGTAATTACAAATCTTTGCAAGAACCATTTTTTATTAATACCTGCAGTTTGAGGACCATAGGCTGCAGGACTAATATATGTTATCTGTGGCCACATTCTTTAATCCAAAGCTATGATAATTACCTATCTTACTCCCTAAAATGGTTTTAGCAAGCAGGGATAGTAAAGCCCAGGATCCTGGAGAAAACTGCCGATGATCAGAGAATATTGGACTGCCTAGTTCACAAATAAAATGTTTCTCTTTCTCTATTGTGTGTGTACACACAGGATTGACAAGTGGAAAAGCATGATTGCTTCTTGAGATAACAAGAGGGAAAGGCTGCTTAATTTCCATTGCACAGAGAAATTTTAATCAGTTCAGGTTGTGCCTTTCAGTGCTAACATCTCTCAGGCAGGTTACATGAAAATGTGAGGTGCAATACCCTGCTGAAGACAGCAGAAAACATCTTGTTCTGTTTGAGTCTCCTACTTGCTCATAGTCAAGGAATGAGCATCTGCTCCATTTTAAATCAAATAAAATGGGAATCAGCTCAGTATGCACTAAATCAGCCATTATATTCTCATAGCAGACATGAAGGAGAGAAAGAGGAGACTCCTTATTCTCACGGATTCTCCCCTCAAACCATTATTAACCATAATGCCTTTTACTAATTAAGGCCCTCCTGGAAAATTAGGGCAAATGAATGCCTAATGAAACAGTCTTAGAGTGGCTTTGAGCAATGCAATGAACTGCCTTTGCCTTTACTTTGGCTGCAGAATCAAGCACTTTCCTTTGTGAATTGTACTTGTCTATAGCATAAATGCAGAATATTAAAAGATACTTTTCTCTTTCTAGTTCCATCTCCCATCATTGGTGAAGGTACCAACCCCACAGTTCTTCTGGTCTCTGTGGCTGGCAGTGTTGTCCTTGTGGTCATTCTCATAGCTGCCTTTGTTATCAGCAGGAGGTAAGAACTTAAGCTCCCCTTCTTTCTCTCTCTCTTTCATGAGGGAGCTTTTTGTCTCCACCAAACAAAGCTAAATTCTTTGATTAGCATCATAAACAGTGCATTTGCATCACAAGTGCTTTCCTGAGTTGCTTTGATCTTCTCAACCTCACTACCACAGCAGCATGTACTGTAATGGTAATAGTTCTAGAGTTATTTGCCCTTCAAATGCAAAACCGATTCTAGGGATGGGGTAGTGGTGGGAGGTTTTAAAATGCAAGCCAGCAGCATAAGATCTGAAGGGGGACTGTAATTTGATGTAGAATTTTAATGAATGAATCATTCTGGGCTGACTGGTTCTATATTAGATGTGCCAGACAGCAACATTTTTTTTAATGAACTAAGCCCCTGTCTCTGAGCTTGTACATGAAAGACGAATGTCTTAAGAGGAAAGTATTCCCTCTTGTTTTTCTAATTGCTTCTTCATTTGGCCATGGCAGTAGCTGTTGCTTGTGAGGAAGACACATATTAATCCCATAGTTTGTATGCCAGCCAGGTTAGATTAGGGTAACATGCTCAAAGCTTTTCCATCATGAGCCTTCCAGAACAACACCGTTTTGATTCAAGCAGCCACTGGGGTAAATAAGTATCCTCCGCCTCCTCCTCCTTTAATGAAGTGATTCGCTCAGTAGATTTTGTCTGTCCTTCCTTGAGATAGATGGATAGGACAGTAAGCATTCTCCGAAGAAGAGGCAAAAAGAGGTTAGAAAAATAGAATATTGGGGGGTGGTTTGAACCCCTAAATACTTATTCAGTATACTGGTGCTCTGAGAGGGGGATGAGACTGAGCAAGTTGCTTCTTTCTGTTTGCCAATTGAGCATATTAAAAATGGACAGAGAGAAGTTCTATTGTCTTGATAGGACAGGGGTGGGTAACCTCAGCTGATGGACCACCTGTGGTGTTGGTCTGATTTGATGCAGGTGGAGAGCCCCTGAGGGACATGAACACATGAGGAAGAAAGGGGAGAGGAAGCCCTTTGCAAAGGACCAGTTCAAACTTCTGGCAAGAAGTAGTGAAACTGGGGGTGAGGGCAAAATCAATGGAGCAATGGAAGAAGAGGGCAAGAAAGTATCAGCCCAGATTTCTGCCTGACAGAGGGTTCCATCCCTCTCATGAGGCACTGCAAGCAGTAGAGGCAGGAGAGGGTATCAGAAGGGGAGAGTGAGAAGAGAGAGAGAGGAGGGTGGGGGGAGAGAGACAGAAAGAGAAGGAAAGGGAATTGACAGAGACAGAATGAATGGATCCACCTACTTTTGTTCCAGTCTCACCGACCACCAGCATGAGTTTCTGAACAATTTTTCCCCAAGGGAATGCAACCCTCTGTGCAAAGGAAGGCTCATGCCCTTGCAATAAGGAAGCCTTTTTCACCTTTTAATGCCCATCTCCATAATCTCCTTCCCCTTCCCCTTCTGTATGATATAAATAAGATCAGGTTACTTCTGACTTATTATCTTATTGCAAATTATTTTCTCCTCTAAAAATGAAAAGATAAGAGGAGCAGTTTAATCTGAGAGGTTATAATATCTGATAAGTAGTCATTCACTATAATAGATTTCAGTGGGTGTTTGGTTCACCAGCTTCCATGCTGACAAGATGAAAAGCACATAGGAAAATATAATGCAGAGAGATAGGTTTATTAAAAAGCATTGCAACAGAAAATAGTATCACTGAGCCTGATGACTTGAATCCCCCTCTGCTTTTATTGATCACTGTATTATTTAAGACAGGATTGATACTGGGATGCATTGAATTTCTAATTACAAGCCACCACCTTGGAGAATTGTGCTGGTCAAGTTGATCTGAAATTATTCCTGCTCTGCCTCCCCGTTTTTATTTTTATTTTGTTAAAGTCACTTCCCAAGGCAGATAAAGAGTGCCTGGTGATTGGTCCTTGGTGGATCACTTTTTAGAAAATGAAATGTCAACCCTTTGCCCTCCTATCGATTCTCTTTAGTATTGGCCATAAAGCTGTCAGAGGGAAGGCTGTTGGGAGCCAGGTAGCTGACAGTCCTGCTGGAGTTAATGTGTGTGCTGCCAGCAATTCTTCCGCCTTGAGATGTCTGCTTACTTATCTCTGCCTTAGAAGGATTCAAACTGGTCAAGAGCAGATAAAAAGAGGTAGTTCATAGTAAGAATGGGTGCTTCGCATTTGCAGGAATACTCTAAAAGCAACTGGTCTGCGAGTTGAAGGATGCTGCTCTGACACATAAGACATCAATGTACACATGGGGACAGGTCTTATGAAATGAATGAAACGCTCAAAGTAAATCCCATAATTTCCTTTGCTGAAAGATGTGTGATTTCAGCCTTTCCCACATCCTGTTTAAAATTGTGCCCAGCATTCCCCACATGAGAAAGATGCAAGTTCTTGGAATTAAATCACACATTTGTGGAGCAATTTACATGAAACTAAATTTAGTAGATCCTTGTTGCTAGATTTTCTGGATACACAATGCACTTTATGCTTGTTAGTTTTGGTTGCATACCTTACATGATAATGCTTTATTGCCTGGAGAGAGAGAGAGAGGAACATTAAATTTATTTATTTTTTTAAACAGCACGGTGTGCAGGTACCCTCAGAATTAAATTCCATTTGGAATTCCTGAGAACATAAGAAGAGCTGTACTGGATTAGACTAAATGCCCATCTAATTCATAATTCAGTATTTTGATCTCACAGTCACTAACCAGATGAATATGAGAAGCTCAAAAGCATGAGTGCAGCGACTCTCCCATATGTCCTCACCAGCAGCTGGTATTGATAGGCATCCTGCTGTTGGATGTCACATATACAGAGGCAAGCTTGGATTGCTGCATCTGCCTATGAATTTATCTGATCCTTTTTAAAGCTGTCCTGCTAAGTGTATTTAGATTTGCAATTTGTCTCATACTGAAATCCTAACAAATTCAACGAAATATAATTAAATACACAGGTGATATAACTTAGGAAGCTGCTATACACTGAGTCTTCCCCAGGGTCCATTTAGTTCAGTATTGTCTACACTGAATGGAAGCAACTCTAGCATTTTCAACAACATCTTTCACAGCCATTCCAGGATATGATTGTACTCCTTGCTTGAAAGCCATGCATTCTGCTACTGAGCAATGACCCTTTCCTGAATAGCACAAAACGATGTGCTCTGTTTTACTTATCGGAGAGATCCTGAACCAGAGGCTCCCATATACAGAAGACTCAACATGTGCTCTGCTGTGAACATCATCATCATCATCAAGTGTGTGATGATTTGCTCTTGGAAGCAAATAGAGGATGACTGGAGTCAGACGAGCATTTTCAGAACAGACCAAGAATCTGTTCTGCCCAATTCACCAGTATGGTGGGCCCCACATGATTGCTGCTGGAACTAGTCATTGAGAATCAGAACCTTCATGTGGGATTGGTATGTGCAGACATACGAGTGCAGTTTGACTGATTTAGACACAGTAAACTATGTGTAGAGCCCCCATGTAGAAGCATCCAATGGTACCATGATGTGAACAGAGCCCAGCTGTGAATCTGTTACTGTTGCAACACACTGTTGAAGCACTATCAGATTGTCTGCAGTAGAAATGAACTAGCCCTGACAGGTGGGAAGAGGATGGATGTAATTCACAAAGAAGACCATAAACAAATTAAATCAGATTTTAATAGCACAGGATAGATAATGGATTGAATTACGTGGTACTCACATTACAACTAGCCATAAACCATGGATATTTGTGACCACGTGCATGTGAATGAGCATGCTGTCTTCCAAACACTAACCTGTTTCTGCTTCATAAAACAACAGTTTATGGTTCCTACCCATGGGTCATTTATCTCTCAGGAACTGTATGGTGAAGAAGCAGCATGCTAACTCAGTCCCATGTGGTTGTGACTATTCCATGGTTTAAATAACCCACAGGAGTCATAACATGGGGACCAAGCACAGCTGTTTCAAACAGTGCTTTTTCATATAGACAATCATTTCTGAACCAACTTAGCTAATTGCTTCCCAAGACTGATTTTGTTGAAATGTAAAAGGAAATATTTGGCAAAGTTGGACCTCAGGCAGATGGCCACCTTTGAAATCCGAAGTCCCATCATTAAGAGTATTGGAAAATAGTGCCACCTAGCATTTTTTTAAAAGGGTATTGTCTCAGTATAGTGGATTATTCAATGCTTGCTTGCTTGCTTGCTTGAAATGCTTAGATAATGTCTTATGAAAGCATATCTGTATCATCATAAACTAACTAGTGAATCAAAGTTTCTCAGATTAAGTGACTAGAGTTCCACTGAGGCTCCTGTAGTGACAAGTTTTGGCATGCTGCATCTTTGCATCCTTCTGCCTGAGCACATTATGCCAGAAGCTCTAAGCATTTCCCTATCTTTGTTTCTTGACTTTGGTTTGTGAATGCTGAAGTTGTGAGTTCTGATGCATTGGCTAGGAGAAAAGCATGTGTGCCTCATGCTGCTACACTACAATACCTGCTAATACCCCTTGGCTCTTGCTTTGTCAGGAGCAGAGCTTGCCTGTCAGATTGTAAGGCCCACCTTTTCTTTATTGCAAAATCCCACCTGTAGCCTTGCCTGGATCTTTGACCCCTGCTGCTTTTCACAGTGCCTGTATTCCCTTCCTGAACCCCACCTCCCATTTAATCATTGTCACCAAAATCCCTATAATTATGGAACTGAACTCTTCACAAAGGTTTCTTTCTGTCATTCAGGTGAGCTGTCTGTGAATGCCAGTTTGTGTCCAGCATTCCTCAGGCATCCTGGGAACTTCCCAGGCCCTCCTGGGGCCTAAATAATAAGCAGGAGGGAAGTATCTTTTCAAGACAATAGGTCTTAGCAGTCTTCCTCCCTGAGCAAAAGCTCCACAGGTGACAAAGGTAGAACTGAAGCCAATAGGTTGGGAAACCTTTATTAGACGCTAATAAGCTGTAATTAGGGAATGAAAAGTGTTCCTTGTGTTTCCTCTGAGCTTCTCTCTTCTCTAGAAGTTGCAGGAGGCTTTTTGTTTGTTTTGTTTGTGGTGTGCTTTTTGCATTAAAGAGAAATAAAGAGGATTTTTAAAACCACTTTATCTTTAACATAGCTCACATTATTAATTCAAGTCAGATGCAATACACAATCCTTTCGACTAATACATACTTTTAAAAATCAATGCTCTAGAGCAACCTTCTTCAACCTGATACCTCCAGATATGTGGGACTACAGCTCCCATCTCCCCTGTTGCAGTTGTGTTGGGTTACATTCCCCATTATCTGTAGGGTAAACACATCAGGAAGACTGCTCTAGGTTGAACAGCTTGTGATTTTTTGCCTTTTTCTTAAACATTTAATGCATTTCTGCATGCTTGTTATACTACCAGTTGTATAGTCTTTGGTGTGTTCATGTAGCATTTGGAATAATATATGTAGGAGTCTTAAGATCAGCTGTACAATCTTCATGGAAATCTCCACTGTTTTTGCTTAATTTCTGAAATACAGGAACAACTTTTCTTTTGATTTGCACATTTGCAGCTCCATAATATGATCTCTTGAGTTTATATACTTGCACAAAGTCAAAATTAAAAATTACTTAAATAATCTGAAGGAGAAGTGAATGCAAAACATATTTGAAAGATTTGGATTCAAATCCAAATCTTGGGTGGTTATTTCATTTGGCTAAATGCATCCTATGGTACCCATGTTAGTTCTGAACAGCAGGAAATGCCACTAGTGTGTTTGGTGGGGGCTCAACAATGAAAAGCAACAGTAGTCCTAGTATGGAGAAACTTTGAATTACAATTGCTTATAATACTCTGGCTTTGAGAATTTCTCTTGTGGGCCAGACTAAACTCTGAGATCCTGAGAACTGGGACCAGCTGAACCTTGTATCTTGAAAATGACTTGCACATGAGGTCCCTCTTTTATTAGATATTTTTCCTTAGATCTAAACTGCTGTTGTGTATTAAGAGTCTTTTTTGAAAATTAAAGTTATAAATATTATGAGCATGTCACATATTGTGACAATATGAATAGTCTTAATATTCATCTGCAAAATAATGTTATTAATATGTACATACTTAGTGTGAAAATAGCTTGATCAGGTATATATTTGCAGTTTACAATGAAATTTCAATTAGGTTTTACTTGCAAATTTGGTGATCACACAAAGAAATTCCATTACTTCTGTGCACTTGTACAGGTTTGCACAAACCTGAAATCATCTTTTTATACCTGGCCACAGATGCTTTTACATTATGAATCAAGATGCATGAGTAAAAGGCGCTCGCGCTCGCTCTCTCTCTCTCTCTCTCTCTCTCTCTCTCTCTCTCTCTCTCTCTCTAAAATGCGGTGATGATTTCCTTGATAGTAACAACTAATGCAATACAAGCGGTGTGGCAACCCATTGTGTTTCAGGTAGGTCATCAACTATAGTGGCAGAAAGAACAGGTTTTGGCAGGTATAGCAATTCAAGTCTTGGCAGGTCCAGAAATCTCTGAGTTCGTGACTAAATAAGATACTTATTTTGATTTGTAATTCTCTTTTCCTTTCCAACAGACGGAGCAAATACAGTAAAGCCAAGCAAGAAGCAGATGAAGAGAAACATTTGAATCAGGGTAAAAGGCAGTGGTGCTTGGTTTTCTGATCTGAGTTGCAAAGCATGTGTTGTTGTCTTCTTGAGTTTAAGAAAAGAGTAATGCTGTTTGGACAATGTTATTTCCAAAACTATTTCTTGTGTAACAGCTTCCTGAACCATACTTTTTAAAAACATAGCTACGAGCATATACCAAGACATGCTTAGAATTATGCTTCAAGTGGTGGCTGTAGAGTTGTTTAGGATTCAGCAAGAGTCACTAAAGCAAACTGAAGAGATTTTGGCACACACAGAAATCTGTCAGACAGAAATGAATGTTTCTCATCCAGTATGATTTAAAAAAAAAAACCCTCCTAGTTTGCCAGGCTAAGAGGCTGTGTTACTCTCAGAAATTATGTGTGAAAATACTTGCTATGTAATTACTTACAGGGTTACTATTCACACAACTTAGTGTGTGCAAGCTTCCTCCATAGTGGAATTCATCAGCTTTTCTCCATTTAAAAACATCTTTTGAGTAATCTTCAGGAGGATTTTTTTGTGGGAGAGTAATGTTGTGGAAAGAATTCTCATTTCTCCTCTTCCTTAGAGATAGAACTTGTAGGAATCACTCCTTCTGTCCATCTCCCTGTTGAGGCTGTCTCCATATGGGCAGAGAGACTCAGAAGGAAATTTAACTTGAGACGTGCTTTCTCATTATAGTTCTTAATGCAACCTACTGAGAATTCAACACAAGCTTAGTTTGGAACTCAAGAAGTCCCAACCCACTAAAAAAAAGCTTTTGTTACAGAATCTACCTATAACGTATTTCAGCTGTCAGTGCAATTTATCCCCAGTCAAAACCTGATTATTTGAATAACTGGACAGAAAAAGACATTTCCATGTACTATATTACATTCTTCAATTTTGGGGGGCATGTTTTTTTCTCTTTATTCTGCCATTCAAGCATGCTTTGTGGGATATGTGCCAATGCGTCTTCATTCTGATATTGTTTGCACATAAGTCATTTCAACACATTCTCTTTGTACTGCAGGTGTCAGAACATACGTAGATCCTTTTACATATGAGGACCCCAACCAAGCCGTGAGAGAATTTGCGAAAGAAATTGATGCTTCCTGCATAAAAATTGAAAAAGTCATAGGTGTTGGTAAGCTAAAGACATTATCTTGTTAACAAATAGTGGATTTGATTTGAAGAGGGCTTATTCAGTTTTTTAGTTTACTGGAATTGTTTTTTAAATTATGCATTTATATAACAATTTTCTGTGCCCTCTCCCATATCATGTAGCTCTTTAAGAAGACTTAAAAAATGTTTGATTAAACTAGTTTACATTATGGAAGGGGAGGCAGCCTTCAACTAATTATGCAGTTTGGTTGGAAAAAAACAAAACTTACATTGTTGAATTTTTTTGCTTATATTTTACTCTATTTTCTCAAGTAAATTAATTAATAAACCAAATAAGATAAAAAGATAAATCAAGAGAGGGCCAGAAAGTACAATTGTAACCAATGTTAAGATAAATCTTCTAAAATCTTAATAGGGTCAATTAAGACATCTCTTCCTAGAATTAAAATCATACACTGATTTGTAAGAGTCAACAGCTTTGTTCATGGTTGGCTTTTCCCCCCTTCCCTGCAGGTGAATTTGGTGAAGTTTGCAGTGGCCGTCTCAAGGTGCCAGGAAAGAGGGAGATCTGTGTTGCTATCAAGACTCTGAAAGCTGGATACACAGACAAACAAAGAAGGGACTTTTTAAGTGAAGCCAGCATTATGGGACAGTTTGACCACCCCAATATCATCCACTTGGAAGGTGTCGTTACGAAGTGTAAGTGGGTCATGAACTGTTACCCAGTGAGTGACAGTGTCTTTGACAAGGACAATTTGGTAGTCCCTGTGAAATTAAATCGGCACAGGGGTTTCTCCTTTCTTGCTGTGAAATGACAGATGGAATAGATCCACTGATAGCTAATAGGAGGAAATCAGTGCAGGACTAGTCATTAATCTTATTGTCATCTATAAATGGCTATAGTGCTATAGCCAATACTCTGTCTCCAAGCAACTTGTGCCTAATTTTACAAGGAAACATAATACTACAAGGATTTACAGGGGAAAGGGAATGTTATAGAAGAATGTCTTGGTTTGGAGGAGGCTTTCCACATTTTTTTTATTTTTGGTATGCCAGGTGGATATTTTTGAAAATAATCTTTGTAGTATTGAGATGACTTTTTTATAGGATGGGGGGAAGCAGATGGTAATCAAAGCACCTTAAGTCTTTTATAAGATTCTGAGCACAATAAACCTGCAATGTTGTATGTTTGAAGTATTTAGGCACAGATGTAGACAGAGCGGGCCTTTCAAAAGAAAATAATCCTTGTCCTTAGTATGAGACTTGTTTTGTGTGTGCTTTCTGATTTATGTCTTTGATGTATTTGCTTCTATTCTGAGCAACACCTGGTCAAATATATATTCCCTCCCTTCCCTGCTTTAAAGTCAATTAGCATTCACTGTACCAGTGAACTCCAGTCTCAGGAAGAGTGGGGTGAAACCCCACAGTTATGGTTTTCAGACCAGAACTGAAATGCACCTGTGAAGTTTGTATGGGTCTGCCTCAGTAAAGACCAAGTAAAAGTATGCTGCAGAGACCCTGACTATTTAAGATGGCCCTGCTCCAGCCCGATCATTGCTCGTACTAGTAAAATACAGCCAGTATTGTTAAAAAGAAATACCTCTTTGGATTTCAGCTTCATTTTTTACTTGGATTTCAGACCTTAGTGGATGATTTGGTTTGATGAGTCAATTAAGTTTGTCATTACAGAGTTTTAAATGTAATCAGGAAAGTTACCAGTTCTGGAACAGAATGTTTATCTGTGGAAGGCTTTTAATATCCTCAGTTGAGCAGCTCAGCCCTCCAGCCTGCATATGCACACATGTACTGTATGCATCCCAGGTGCACCTCTGCATTAGGAGGGTATTTAGCCTTATTGGTGCACCTCTTGATTCTTCCAGCATTAACAAAGTAGAGTATTCAAAAGAGAGAGCAGAATATCTTATCTCTTCCAGCTTCTGTTCTCCTTAGGATTATAAATTAAACACAAAAGTCTCCAAATGCTCTGAATGCTGGCTGTATTAAAGTAATATAGATAGGTTTGCATTGCCTGTCATTGTCTCAGGTGCATACAGCTCCACTCTTTTCTGCAGTACACTAGAACATGCCTACAAGAACTTTTCTATAATGAAATTCGGTCCCTGTGCTAGTGAAAGACGCTTCTAGTGTAATACCAACAGTATAGGCTGAGGCAACAGGTTTTTACTATTGGTACTGTGCTAGAATTCACTTATACTAGTGCTCAATCAATGGTGTAAACAGAGGGGAAGCACTGAACCCCCTTGCCCTGGAGTTCTTTCATAACTATACAACTTATTTGAACATTTAGTAGCTGTCCCAATCTGTAATGCTGCTACTTTCTATAGTGGAGCCAGCTGGAGCCGGGGGTCAGACTAGATGACCTGGGAGGACTCTTCTGACTTGCTCTGTTTCTAGATATATGATAGGCAAGCATATGTTTCTTTTCACATCCATGCTGCTTTCACATACAAAGTAGAATGCATGTTTAGGGAGTTTAAGGTTTGTTCTCCATAATCATAATCTCTCTGGATGAAAAGATAGTTATTTATTTATTGATAGCTTTTATAACAATGTATAAATGTTATAAATAAATAAAGCTGAGGTTGCAGGTCAGTCTGCATCAGATTCTGCAGTCAGAAGACTAGACAATACTGAGATGACTGGACCGATTATATGACTCAATATGAAGAATATAAACATTAACACTCTTTAATAAGTGTAGACAGATTTGAAAAGTATATGGGTGCTAATTTTCTCTGAAATTCTGCATTTACCTATAGCAATTAGTTTTTTAAACCATCTACTACATCAAATCCAAATGTGCTTAAAAGCATACAGTGACACACTGATTACATTTCAAGTTACAAGTTTCAGCAGTTTAAGAAAGCTCTTGAATTTCTTTGTACAAGACTGCTATTGTCTTTCGCATACAAGATTCTCCCAAATTTCACATAACTTTAATTTAAAAGGTAAAAAGTCTGAATTCTTTTACAGGAATGCTCCTTTCCAAAAGATATTTTTTGTTTAGGACAATACAGTGTCTTTGCTACTGACAGTGATTTTCATACTACCTTAGTAAAACAGAGAATTAACAAGGGAATCTTTGTATTGCAATCCCACTGAGGCTTTTAACCCCCAAGCTGTTACAGCTGTAACAGTTATAAATGACTAGATAGCATTTGCATAATGTACTTGTCACTGCATTAAAATGATTTAAAATTCCCAACAGAAGGTAGGAGGCCAATTCAAGGGAGTCCTGTTGCCAGGCTCCCTGTAGTTCATGCTTTCACTACAAGCCAGCGCAGGCACCTCCAACCTATCACCATTTGGTAAACAGGGTTACTTAAGCAGGCATTCATCTCAATTTTTACTGTAGACTTACAGAATATTGATGATAAATGGGTGCATTTAAGGCTCTTGACATTAGAACACAAGGCCCTGTGCAGACTTTGGAGCTGTTTCGGGTGTAGGGTGAGACTGAAGATGGTGGGTGAGGAGCAGCATAGCATAAATGCCTTATAAATAGCAAGTTTTTAATAACTGACTTCACAATGACAAGATGTCCCTTTTTAACGCTGTGGTTGGATTTTATGGGTAGAGTGTATTAGTTGATTATATGGAAATGTATATATCCATACTGTATGGTTACTTTTACAGTGCTGAAACCTACCTCAAATCCAAACCCAGTCCATTGAAATCATACTTTCAATAGCTTGTCAAAAGTGTGATGGAATCAAAATCCATCAAATGTTGGATCCCAGTAGATCATCCAATTACACCCAGGTTCCAGCACATGGTGGCTGCAGAAATCACTGTCCAGACTAAGGCAGTGCTCTGACTCCATCCTGTGTCTGCAGACCCCCTTCTCTCACAGCAACACTAATCTGCTTAGGTATAAAAACTAATGGAGTTATGCATTAATATATTCAAATTAAGAGTGTCTCTTATTTCTTTAAGTTGACAAAGTACCTTTTGATTGCAGAAGGTTAATTAAAACCCATTTAGATCTATTTGTTCTGTCAAGTGACTGTAGTCACAGTTGCAAAGAGTAAATGACATGGAGAGATATGCAGATTGGATCTGAGTGGGTTCCATTCTCACTGATGAATACTGGGAGGGGTGAATGTTCAGACATCAAGAGGATGATTTTCTTCAGCCTTTGCCTTTAAGTATTTGAATTCTTGGCCAGAATTTCTAAGCGTATATTGATGCAGCTGTCCTAGATTTTTGCTCACACAGAGAGGGGGGTGGGGAGAAACCTTTGTTCATGTAAATAAGATAGTTAGGACTACAGATGCTTGATTTCCAATTCACACAGAGACTGGTTTGCATGCACAAATATGGAATAATATTAGGGAGTTGAATAGTCTGGCACTGGTTGAAGTAGCAAGGGAATCATGAACATATATGTTTCCAGATACATTGGCATTAGGCCAGCTATCCCTAACTAAAAATAAAACTGGAAAGGTGAAAAATTTACAGTCTATCAATGTTGCTTAGCATATTGTTTTCTAATAAAAAGGTATTTCTGAAATAGGAGCTCCTAGTAGAATAGCAATTGGAGGCAACCTGCTGAGTGAAAAATGTGCAAATGTAGAAACAATTATAGGATGTTTTCAGTATGAAAATATTTTACCAGTATCCCTTTTTTTTCTTTTGCCAAATGTTTCAGCAGATCCCACTGATGGATTTTTTTTTCTGATTTCACTTTCCCTCAGCCACACAAAAGCAAATTATCTACCTAAACAAGACTCCTTTTCTCTGACAATATTTGAAGGAAATACCCTACGATCTGATCTATTCACAGTATATTAAAACAAATGTAGAATGAGAGCAATGTGGAAAGGTTGATTAGTCTCCACAATAAATTCTTGTTCCTCATTATAAAGTCCCACCTTGAGTCTCACTTTAAGATCCATGGACTTTGTGCAGTCTTTAGGCATACTCATGCATTTAGAGACATCAAGGAAGAAAAGTTACATTGAATATCTTTACCAGATTTTTTAAGAACTATGTGATATGATCATTAGGATAACAAGTACTAATGTAAATACTAATAGATAACGTTTCATAATATTGTATTTGATGTATAATTACTATAATATCATCCAGTGCAAGCAATGTTTAGTGGGCTATTTTTATTACATATGACTTTCTCTGTAATATAGTTTATTATCTAATTTGACCATATCTCTTCCAGTCTTAAGCACATGGATAAAAGATATTTGTACATGACATGAATTCAGTAAATCCAAGGGAATTACTGTTTATGCTACACCTGAATCTCCACTTGCAGCTGACAGCCTGCATCCTCCTAGCATAACATTTGATTTCTTTCAGCAAAATGTCTATGGACATACAAACTCCAGTAGCAAACAATGCAATTATCTTTACATTACTTCAAGTGCAAATAGGCCTATTTGGGTCTATTAGCACATCACCATTTCTCCTTAGTGAGCCATTATGGATTCTTATATTCTCTGGAGGTTCTGGTATTTGCCGTAGTTAAAGACCTCATCAATGAGTCAGCTAAAGTGTTAATCTTCTTGTTGGAACAGTCCTCATCTGTATTATTTGTTTTCTAGTTTGTTCTAGCTAAGGAAGAATCCTATGTACCTTCACACTTATAATGGATCATAAAAACAACCCCTTCCCTTAACTGTCTGAATCTGTGACTTGTATTTTCTTTCTCTAATTTCTAGGCAAACCAGTCATGATTATAACTGAGTACATGGAGAATGGTTCCTTGGATGCTTTTCTTAGGGTAGGTTTCTGCAGTATCATGAATCTAGAGGCAAGCACTAAGGTATCTTTATTTATGCTTTGCAGTTTGAAGATGCACCAGAATTATGCTTTGGAGATGCTAAGTAGTGTATTTTCAACCACAGTTGCAGCAGTGGGGGACGGGCAAAAAGGCAACTTGGAGGTGACACATAAAATAGCATGCTTTAAATAATCCTTGTTTAATCAAAAGCAGGTTTGATTAAAAATGCTCATTAAAACTCTTGCATTGCTGTGAGTTAATTAAAACTGGAACATTCTAGACATCACAGGAAGCTGCTGGACTGTACTTTGTTGGTGAATTGTAGGATTAGATGGCAAGAAAAATGATGTAGGGGTACATTAAACCAAAAATATATGAGTATGGCTTTCAAACTAGGAGGGCAGCCTTCCATGGAGAAATGACTTACATAGAAGGGGGATAGTACAAAGTCCCAGGGTTAGACAGGGTCTTGAAGCAGGTAGTGCCTTCCCTCCCTACCATCTACTAATTGTCAATGGACCCTGTAAGGTCCACAATGGATTCTTTCCTGATTCATTCCTCTTCTGATGCAAGCTTGGACATTAGCCTGTTCTATAAATCTTTGTATGCAGAATTAGCAGGTATGCCAGCCATCCTCAACTTGGTGACTTCCAGGTGTTTTGGGCAGCTCCTGACTATTGAACATGCTAGCTGGGGCTCATGGGAACTGATGTCTAAAATATCTGAGGAGCACCTTTTGGGGAAGTCTGATATTCACAGGCAACTGCCCAGAAGGATCTATGCACATGTTTCCATTAATCCATAGAACAGATTACTGATGCTATTTTTATATTCAGAGAATATAAAAACAGGACATCAGAGCATGCTTATGTTGCCTAGCAGCTAGTATTCAGAACTGTGCTCTTTCTGATACTGGAAATTTTGTTCTCTCTCTCTCTCTCTCTCTCTCTCTCCCTCTCTCTCTCTCTCAGCGGTGGCACGCCATCTATGGAATGTGCTCCCCAGAGAGGTCCGCCTGGTGCCATCGTTATTTGTTTTTCAGTGCCAGGCTAAGACCTTTTTATTTAAAGCTCATTTTAATTGCTAAATTATTGAATTAATTAGGATTTTAAAATTTTTAGCCGAGAATGCGCTGGGGCGTTTTAAATGTTTTTTTTTCTTTTAAATTGTTATATTATTATTATTTATGTATGTTTTTATGTATTCTTTGTGAGCCACCCTGAGGCTTTGTTGCGATGGGGGCGGCATAGAAATGTTTTAAATAAATAAATAAATAAATAAATAAATAAATAAATATCATTTACCTGACTAGTACTCGTTGATAAGTTTGGTAAACACTGATACAAAAATAAAGAAGGGTATGTTCATTGGCACTTTCTACAACATTTTTATTTTATTTTTTTCAGAAGAATGATGGCAGATTTACCATCATCCAGTTGGTAGGAATGCTTCGAGGCATTGGCTCTGGGATGAAGTATTTATCTGACATGAGCTATGTGCATCGAGATCTCGCAGCTCGAAACATATTAGTCAACAGCAACTTGGTCTGCAAAGTTTCAGATTTTGGCATGTCCCGTGTACTGGAAGATGACCCTGAAGCAGCCTATACTACTAGGGTAAGACAAAAACATGTGGGAAGGGCATCCTGTTCAGTCCTTAGCAATGCCTATGATGCTAGCAAAAGGACCTCTGATTGAAACCCTCGGGAGGTGCGGTCAGTTATTGATACCATGCTAAGCAAGTTGGACCAATGGTTGACACTGGGTGGAGATTATCAAACCTATTCTAGATGGGTTGTATTCCCCTTGGATCAGCAGTTTCATAGCTTGTTTGCCTGGAGACATTTTTGTCACTTGAGGTGCAGGCAGCCTCAGTAGCCTGGAGTGTCTTCTATAGAGAACTTTGGATACTGGATAGTATAGGAGAGGGAGATGTTCCTTTATTGAACTGAATGCATATTTATCTTGGTGGCACTGTAACTGTTCTAGAAAGCATCCTATGGATGCAGAGCTGAGATTTCCCCAGTCTCTGCATGTTGGGACTGATAAATTACACATGATATCAACCTTCCATCATTCCTCGTTATTAAGGACAAATGTGTTACTATTTATTGAAAACAGGAGGAAGGCAGGTTATCGGATGAGTATCAGTGCAGAAGTGTGCATGTGTCACATTGGTAGTGGTGTGTTTATCCATATGACTGTATTTATGACTGGTGCCTAAAGAGGTCAAACAATAGGATTTAATAAGATACTTTTACTGACTTTGATAGATGGATTGTAGTCATCTGCATGTAAAGTCTAATGAGGCAAATGCTGCAGCTTGTAAAGCAATATTTTGATGATCACAAACACCCTTGAAGTTTATACACATCAGGATAAAAGGAGATACAAGGTTTATAATGTAGATTTGTAATTTTTGTTAGATGTTTTGCTTTTAAATGCCTGCAATTCTCCATCTGTTCTCCCAAGTGCTGAGGTTGTTAGGAAAACCCAGTTTGTGCTGTTTAATTCTTACATTTCCCCTGTAATGAACATGTCACTCATTAAAGGGAGGGGGGATCCATTTGCCTTGCAAGTATTTATTGCTGTCCAGCCTGCAATTTCCCACTAACAAGGGCAGTGAGGTTTTGAGCCAAGACAGATTTCTAGAGAGCTGTGTTCAAACAGAAGGGCAGGAGGTACACTACTGAAAAACATTTCTTTCAATTGGGTGAGTGCAAATATAGTAAAGTGTTTTCCCTTCCAAGAGAACTGCAACAATATCTATAATTTGCATCACAGTGCATTGTCTTCTTTTGGTATCACTATTCAGGACAATTTGGATGACGGCTGCCATTGAGTAACCATAAGGAATTTCAAATTATGATTGTTCCTTAGAAAAAATCCCACAGATCTGATGACAGTCCAAGTCAACCATATGGGCTGTGTGGGTAAAATGTACTTTTATTCATTGCCATAGTAAAGGAGAAAAGCTGTGCCTTGGCTACCATCCAGAAGCACCAAATACCATGTGTGCAAGAAATCTGCATGTGTGCTCATGCCTTTCTTAATATTTTCCTGCAGCAATTCCTATCAGCAAGCTGTTTTTTAACCATCACCAGCATTTTGCTTTATGTAGCACATACATTCAGCTGTGCTACAGATGTAAGAACATATTGACGTAAGAGTCCTACTGGATCAGAATAAAGGTTTATTTAGTCCATGGGTGGGCAACTTCCAGGAATCAATGGAAAATCATCATCACCTTGCATTTACATCTAGCCTTTGTCTTCTTGTGACAAACTGAAGGCAGCTTACATAATCCTCTTCCAGTGCATTTTAGCCTCACTACCTGTGAGGAAGGTTAGGCTGACCAAAAGTCTCCACCCAAGGAGCTTCATGGCTGAATGGGGACTTGAATTTATCTTTCCCAGGTCAGAAATAGCACATTCCATTTCTGTTGACCAGTCAGCAAAAAAGCAGCCATCTTAACTGCTCAGTAAAAATGGCCCCTTTGAGGAAGACATATAACATCAACATTCTCCCGCTGGAGTAGTTGCTCACAGGGGTCTGTCTGTCTGTCTGTCCGTCTGCCTTCCTTCCTTCCTTCTTTTTAAGGAGCAGGGAGGGTCATGCAATAACCTACAACTTATCTGCATACAACCAAGGAATTAAGACAGATTTCCTTAATTTGATATTCATAAAATGTGTACAATTTACAATTCCCTTCATCCCTAGCCAGAGGTTAAATGAAGACAACTTCATTGAACTTCTGATGTTACACCCAGTTTAGATACTTTTTGTGGAGTCTTCTTGGATTGTCATTATCTAAATAATTTGGTGACATTTGCCTGCATTGGCTATTTTACCTCTAATCCCTTAGCCCAGATCATTTATAAATACATTTAAAAGTACCCGAGCCAAGATGAATTCTTAGAGAACTGCTCTCTTTTCTGTTCCTTACCCAGTTACTGATTCATAAGACTTATCCTAAGAGCGATTGGTTAGGATATTTTGCACAAGTTCTGGACCGTCCAACAAACACAAGATTTATTGAATTACACCAATCTACATATCTGTTGACACCCAGATCATTCTAAAAGGATGGTGAGGCAAAATTTAACTCTGCAGAAATGGCAGTTCTTCCAAGAAAAGCAATTGCTCTTTTATATGTGTAATAATTCTAGTTTTAATAATATTTTTCAACATTTTTCCAGGGACAGAAACTAAACAAAATTTCTTATAATTTCTTGATCCTCTTTTTTAAAAAATAGCATATTATTGACTGCTTTCCATTTGGTGGTAAAGCACGCTCAGGAAATGCCATTCTATTCTTCTTAGCACAGGGTTATACTTTACAATTTAATCCTTGAGTTTTCAACAAAATTTAATGGGGACCTCATCTGATTTTTCTTTGTCAGTATTAACTGGCTCTGATAAATACAGACTACTCAACCAGCCTAGGCTGTTTTACCACTTTTCTGAGTATTTTAATTTACAAAATCCACATAGCTAGAGTTTATTATTTGTTAACTAAATGATTTTTGTAAATATGCATAAGTTTAATATTGTTTAAGGGACTAGCATATGTCTCATCACAAACAAGTGAGGCAGCATCACCTGATTTCTTTGCTTTAGTGATAGCAGCTTTTATGGGGGCTCAAACTTCACAACCCTAATTAACAGGTCCATATTGAAGCCATAGTAGCATATAAAATAAAAAGCAGGAATGGATGAAATAGTTAGGGCACAGTCCTGTGACCACTAGAGTCTTGATGGACCCTAGAACTTCAGAAACATACTCCATCACTGGCATGGAAAGAACTGTACCAATTATGCCGCTGAAGTCACAAAAGAGACCTTGGATATTGCATTTTGTGGGCTTTCTACGGGAGAGGGGGAAACAATATATGCCAGCTTATGCAGTATCTGTCTTCTCTCCTCGTGATGTGGAGAAAAAGATTTGGATGGCTGAATTAGCCGTCTAAGTCTTTTGCATGGTAGGAAAATTCTGGAGGTGCTTCTTATTCCCTCTGTGGTATTCTTGTAATGCTCCGAGTTCAGTCAGTTACAGGCAGCCAGGTTATTAGCCTAACAACACAGAGAAATCTATGGCACATTTGGTTTCGTCCTTTATGCCAAGGAAGCTAGATCAGATAATGAGGATGTTGTTACCTCTAAGCCATTATCAAATTACTGTTTGATTATTATGGAGGCATGCTGCCTAACTGCAGCTTTCAAATGTCTTACCTCCAATCAAAATAGCCTCTATGTCCATAAAGTACTTGAAGATGTACGATTCTCAGCAACTTATTGACCAGTGAAGGACAGAGTATAGAGTTCTTTTTAAAGTGTGGGCCCCAAATAAATGCATGTATTTTGAAGACCTGGGCAAACAAACCTAGCAAGTAGCAGCTGACAAGTTTGCAGCAGCAAAACTCTGACATGACTGGCAAGTATCAAGATGTTAACTACACAATGATAATCTTGCAATCCACACGTTACAAACCCTTAGCACCTTTGTTGTTGTTAGTCCCGAAGTTGTGTCTGACCCATCGCAACCCCATGGACAACATTCCTCCAGGCCTTCCTGTCATCCACCATCCCCCGGAGTCCACTTAAGCTCACACCAACTGTGAGCACCTTTAGTATAGCCTTAAGGAGAGAGATTGTTTATGAACTGGAGGGATAGAAATATAATTTCCTAATAAGCATCCTTGCAACTGAAAAAACAAACCAGATGGATGAAATTCTCTTCCTCTTTGGTAGCATCTAACAGTGCTTGTGTACAATCTTCACTGAAAACAACAATGTTCTATAGCAGGATAATAAAAATTCTACATTTAAGAGGGGAATTCTACAAGCTGCAGAAATTGTGCTTATTTGGTTCAACAAATTCTGCATCTATTTATCATGTGGATAAGCAAAGAACCATAGAAGATATTGGTGGGACTCATCACTTACCATATATTGGAATACAGCAACCATCATTCCTGACTATTGGCCCACCTGGCATAGCAGTGATGAGAGGTTATATACAAAGTACCTGGAGGACTCTACTAGTCCTATGACTCAGTGTGAGGCAGTGACGCTCCACCCTAACCAGCAAAAATTCTACTCTTGCCGTGCAGACTTGCAAGCTATTTCCACAGCTCTTGATAAACTTACTTTTAAAAGGAAGGTGATTCTTTGTGTTCTGAATTCTTTTTTATCTCCCAAAATCCTTTTATCTACAGATTAAAGAGAACAGTGGCCCTTTTAGAAACCAAGCTGGCATCTTCTCATGAACATTTCTACATTAGCTTAGATAAATGATGATATATAACACTGACATAAACCTAAAGTGCTTGCTGTTATATAAATGACTTTGTTGATTTATCTGCAGGGTGGAAAGATTCCCATCAGGTGGACTGCACCAGAAGCAATTGCCTATCGTAAATTTACATCAGCCAGTGATGTCTGGAGTTATGGAATTGTAATGTGGGAAGTGATGTCATATGGAGAGAGGCCTTATTGGGATATGTCCAACCAAGATGTAAGTGTCTTTTACCTTTATCTGAATACTAATGCTTGCTCATTTTGCTGCATTTTAAGCTGCCCAATAATCAAACTTTTCTGTGGTGCGCTAAAACATGAAATGCACACAATAAAATAATGAATCAAAACAACACATAATAAAACCATGATAAAACCAGCAGCAAAGAATACAACCACTGTGGGGCAGTTCACCCTGACCCTAAACTTTTTAGAGCTTTTAAGTTTAAAACTGGCACTTTGAATTCAAAACAAGGAAATGGAGTGATAGGCCGTGAAGATGGCAAAATACTGGCTTCACCACATCAGCCAGGTCTAGTTAACAAACTAGTCACAGTATTTTGGATTAACTGAAGTTTCCTGGCCCCTAGTTGTCCCTCATTTTCCAGAACACTAAAACACCATCCAGATGCCTCTCTCAGCCTTTTTATGATGTCCCCCCATGTAGTTGGGAACTGAGTGTGACTGGCATAAACACATTGGTGGGTCGGTGCTTATCCAGTAGAATCACCATCCCACCAGCAAAGTGCCAATTTAGTGTAAAAGAAAAGAATAAAAGGGCACAGTTCTTGCAGACTTTGATGTCTTCTTGAGGAGTCAATGACATGATCTCCGCGACCTTCAAGTTGCCACTAGTTCGGGTCCCAGGAGCATACAAGAAAGCAGCATTTTTCTCTTATTCTAGTACTAGGATCAATTAGATTCTTCTCCAATAAGATTCTGAATAGATGTAGACGGCTATTTAGCGCATGGTAAATTAGCATAACATGCATTTAATCAGCAGACAAACTAGCTGTCATTATCCCCTTGCAAATGTGTGTGTGTTCTGGAAAGTAGATTAAAATGTGTAGTAAACAATTCACTCGTCATGTCAAAGTAGATTCTCTAAAGACTGTGATTTTCTGAATTAAGAAAGACTCATGTGATGTCCCACATAGTTCATATATATCCTTGGACCTCTATACAGTTCGCACACAACTGGTGATTACATCAGAAAGACACCGTTGTGGAGCAGGATAAGATTTAGGATTTTGAAGCACCCCTTTTCAAGTTCAGTCTTTCCGTACTGGCTCAGATCAGTTCAAAACCCTCCCGGACTAATAAAATACATTTGGAATACCTGATATGTCTCATAACTCTGGAGCTATCTCTAGTGGAAGAAGAAGAGAGAGTTGCAGTTTTGAAAGGGTCCCAGTCAGAGGCGGACTTCACACATCACAACAAGCAATACCACATGGTTTCCACCATACATATTTTTTCATGGATGTGCCTGAGAAATGATCAGGTAACTCAACTCCTGTGTCCCATTTTCTTCCTCATTGGTCATCCAGACAGTATCCTGGAAGGTGCTATGAGGAGTAATGAAGCTCCTCACTTTGGAAGCCATGGTTGCAAATTGAGTTCAGCTCATCACAGCCATCACACAGTCTGCTGCTGGCTCATTTATGCACTCAAGACACCTTGCTCTCACATGTGCAACCAATCAACTGGGCAGAGCCTTTCATTTATACAGTGCTCACCCCTACTACTGGCTGGCAAGGAGCAGCATGCGGCAGATGGGAATCGCACCCCAAGTGAAGTGCCATTGCTACTTCTCGCAATACTGCTCACATGAGAAGGGGATTATGGAGGAATTTGCTGCTGCGTGCAACCCCCAACTGGATGCCACCACCAGAAGATTCTGGCTGCTCCTGCTGATGCTTGAGTTGCAGAAGGAGAATCAACTGAACTGCTTTTCTTTTCTCCCAGCACCAACCAGTTGGTTGTCCACTCATGGACCAAAGAAGATTTTTAGGACAGGAGATTGGAAGAATTAGGATCCCTCTGATATTTGCACCAAATGGCAATGTCAATGGCTCTCTCTGGTTAGCCATTTGGCAAGAGTGGCAATGGGCTGCTCCTGCCAAGCAGCTTTATGGTTCTGGCCTCAGCATCACAATGAGTTATGTTTTCTTGTTCAAATGACACAGCCAGCCATCATGGTAAAACACAGCTTTGCTTCTGTTTGTGCTTTCTTAAACCAAATGTTCATGCTAAAATACTTTAGAGGGGTTCAGACAACACCATAGAACAGAGAAGGTAAAAAAGCACAATCGCTTGTCTTGTTGTGCAGACCTTCTCAGTAGAAGCTTGACTGACAATGTAAGTGCTCCAGGACAGGCTGCATTATCTTTAAATATAGCACTTCCTCCTATGAACTAATGACCAGCTCTGTGTGTGTGTGTGTGGCGGGGGGGGGGGGGGGGGGGGGGGGGGTGGCTGGCTGGCACATTTCCAAGATTCCATCACTTTCAGGAGTGACTAAGGAAGACAATCTGGATAATAATTGGCTACACAATACTAAATATATCTTCTGAGGTAGGGAGGGGAACTCAAATGAAGTAAGTATCCTAGGAGAAGCTAGAGCTGGGTTGAACATTGAAGAGAAAAAGCCTACACTGCAACCATTTGTTGCAGCCCTTACTGGGTGTGGGGGAGAGTGCTACATCTGCGGCACCCAAATGCACCTAATTAGTTCTCTTTTGCATCATGCCACATGTAAAAACAGGAACAAGTTGAAACTTGTCCAAAAGAAATCTCAGAAAACAGAATATGTATCCAGTTGCAAAGTATTTCAGACATTCTAGAGTAAAAAGGATATTGTTGATAATCATTCTGCACCAGTTTCTCCTTTGATAATCCATGAAAAATACCTCAGTGAAAACAGTTTACCCATTAAAATTTAAACCCTAATGTGAGTTTAAATTTCTACTTTGGAAATGATTATTTGCATCTAAGACTATACAAAGAATTTTATTTGGCATATATAATAGTATTTATGTGTGAAAGGTTTGAGCAATAACAACAATGGAAGATACGTCCTTGGGGGACATTAAAAAACAGCTTCAGTAAATGACCCCTTGTAAATTATGCAAGTCGCGTTAACTGTACCATCTGGACCACTTCAGTTCATTCCAAGAGGGAGTTAATAAAATTCCTGCTTTTGTAGATTAGTATTGAAGAAGAGAAATCTAATACGGCAGAATGTTCTAAACAGGAAGATAGCCCAGTGAAGATGAGATATATCCTTTCATAGGATGATGTATAAGGAGATTAGCATCTCTTCCCTCCTCAGGCTTGAGATAGGAAGTATCCAGCACTTTAGTCAAAGGCAGAAAGCTGGATAATAGCTGAGAACTTATGAAGAACTGCAAAGTCCCCCATGTTGTTTACATGTAGATCACATTGAAGCTGAAAGGAGATTTCAATTTAATTTCCTACTGATGCCAAATATATTTGGGGAGGGCTCAGCTGATTGGCGGTGAACATGTTTTGCATGCTTAAGGTCCTGGGCTCAGTTGCTGGCATCTTCCATTAAAGCAGCAGAGCTGGGATAGAGAGAGTAGACACTTGCAGTGTACATGGGATTTTGCAAGGCAGACCAAAGTTTAGCTCAGAATAAACAAAAAGTCACTGATAGTTAGCATGAAAACAAACTGTCAGGATCACTCCAGAAACACACAATCTTCTTTTATGAATGGCAGAATGGAGTTACTGTAGAGGGAGGTTTCCTCATGCTCTTTATGCCCTCTTGCTTACAAGAGCTCAAGAAGAAAGCCCAGATTAATTGGACCAGTGATGTAGCTATGACACCTTTTACCAGTGGACACAAGCGAGATGCTATGCAGCTCACATCACACAGATTGTCACATAGATAAAGGAAGACTTCACAGTGGCTTTGAGGAGGCGGAATATACATCTTTATCCACACAAATTAGAATATAAATAAGACTTGGAAAGTTATTAATTTTGTGGTTGTGAATAGGGCAGGGTTTGTAACCTTGGAGACAACACCCTTGCCTGTTTGCTTTAATGCCTAGTGGCAAGGGAAGTATGAATCCACATTGCCGGCCATTATGTATTAGCTACTCTTCTTGTGAAACCAGTCATATAGTTGTGTGAATCAATGTGTGTGGCCAATTAATCTTTCTACTCTATGTAAAGACTACCAACAAGAGTGCCCATTAGTGCCAACTGTGATGGGGTGAAGGGTTGTGAACTGGGCATACCCAACTGTCACAAACTAGGTCTTGATTATGCATGAGCTCATTCTGTGTAGGTTTGCCAAATAGGCAGCATGTGATAATGAGCCAGATGTACAGAAGGTTTTATGGTGTCTTTTATACAGACAGGTTTCAGATCATGTTGGATACTGTTTATAATTATACACTTTTAAGTGACACGGTAGGCCAGTTTGCAGCTGGCCTTTATGGGTACCTAAGAGCCCAAGGCAATTTCCCCTCTCACATTGCATGAGGGACAGACAGATTTGAGGAAGAGAAAACAGGACCAGGTGTTACTGGCTGTGGAGCTGAACTGAGCCATTGCATGGAAAGAATGAATACAGTCTGGTTCTCTGGTATTCATATTGACAACTCCAGGAAATCTCATTTTGGTTTTACTTCCATCCAAAGTGATTAATCATCACTGAAACAACCAGAGTATTAATATAACACTGGAGATTTCTTAGTTCTTCAAATGCACTTTCCTTGCCACTTTCTGCTTTGTAGGGTATTTACTAGGCCTTTATAAAAAAATGAGGTTTAAAAGAAAATCTAAGACTAAAATATGCATTTTAGCATAATTTGACTATAAATGCATTAAATAAATATAATATATACAAGTCTCAACCATCCATTATTTCAATGAAATAATCAACATTATTTAAGCAGCAGTTGAAATATATACCACTCTCTTTTCCCTCTTTACTTTAAACATGTCATTGTTTAAATACCCAGGCTCAATCAAGATTCCTCTGTTTTATAATCATGAAATTGATTAAATGATTCAGAGATCTTAAAATGTTATTGCTGCTCTTTTGATCAGGTTATCAAGGCCATTGAAGAAGGGTATCGGCTGCCACCCCCAATGGACTGTCCTATTGCTCTCCATCAGTTGATGCTGGACTGCTGGCAGAAGGAACGTAGTGACAGGCCTAAATTTGGACAGATTGTCAACATGCTAGACAAACTCATCCGCAATCCCAACAGCTTGAAGAGGACAGGCTCTGAAAACTCCAGGTCAGCTGTGTTTCCTTAATGGAGATGGATCAGGGAATATATTGGAGATGACAGGCAGCTGTAACTCACTTCAGTGTCTGTGTCAGAGCTGAAGACAGTTTCGCAGTTTTGGCCAGGCTATTTAAACTTCCACTTGAATGAATGAATGAATGAATGAATGAATGAATGAATGAATATATATATATATATATATATATATAGCACAAAATACTGTATTGCCTTTTGGGTTTATGCTGACATTCCATTGGACCTCTTGAGTAGACAAGATCCCTGTAGGATTCTCAGGGCAATGCCTTAGTAAGCATAGCAATTCTCTTACCCATCTAGATCTCTTACCTATTTTAATAATGTAGTAACTGCAAAAATGTTTGTAGAAAGGCCAAGGTGGGGGGATTCCCATAATTAGAGAGGGAAGGATTTCTTTCTTCCTTTTGTTGTGTGTGCTTGATTCTCAGGTTTTTAATATCTTACAAATTAACTTGCTGGGAAAAACAGCTAGGTTCCAGACAATCTTTTTTCCTAGTAGTATTGGCAATGCTCCTTGTGTAACTATGATCACCTTTGGAATTGTGTGCCAAGACATTAACTTACAAGTTAATAAAGAGGGCCACATTCAGCTGAGATGAACAAGAAGACAAGCATAAGATTTCCTGCTTGCAGGCACTCTCTTTCTGAGTCGTTCTTTCTGCTTAAGGAAGGAGAATTTCCCCGAAGTGCATAATTTATCATGTGTCTCCAGGAACAAAGTGCAGTAGTTGACCCAGAGGCAAAATGTGAAAGAAGAAGAAAATATTCTAAAAATGGCACACATCTTAGCTGAGGGGAAGCTGCTCTTGTACATACCTTAAATAAGCCTCCCTAAATTAGTGCAGGTGTCAGCAGAGGCTGGACAGTGCTGGGTTCATCGGCTGACAATGCTGCATCAAGGAAAAAGTGGTTTTTCATGTTTAAACAAGCATGCCCTCTGATGACCACTGCTTACTATTTACATGAGAAAAGACAAGTTATTAGCCCTTGGAGACCACTATCTTCTCCCCCACCCCACTGCCCCCACATTGCTCTAATTGCATCTATGGCACAGTCAGGGTATTCCTCCTGTCCATGTTAAATTATTTAAGAGAGAGGGCTGCCCCATACCAACTGTTCACACTGCTCTGGAGCATTTGATTCGAGGCCACTGAAGGGTAGAATCTGATATTTACTGTGTATCACTTCCAAGCCTGACCAGCACTATTTGCATAGGCACAAAATGCAAAGCAAGGATTCTTGAGCTTATGTGGGCCTCTGTACAATGTGAAGCTACCAAGTAAAAGCCCTTTCATGACTGGCCATTGCTTACCCTTTGATGCATGCTAAACATATTGGCTAGAGAGAGGGGTGTGGTGACTGTTAAGAATTAGAATAGCATTCATTCAATGGGAGAACAGTCCAGGGCAATAACTTATAATAAGTCTATTCTACACCCTGTCTTTGATCCTGTGTGTTTGGAACAGTAGTCTTTAAAATAATACTAATAACACCACCAATAAAAATATCAATAGCTGATGACAAATGTTGAAACCTATTGAAAACCAGTGAAATTTGCTAAGAGGGTAAAATAATATGTATTAAAACAGTATGTATTAATATATTCATTGGTCATATTAATATAAACAATTAACTCACTGATAACTGAATGGGGAAACTGAAACACACATTCCTCAAAACAAAGATTGAAGCTGCCATTATTCTGGGATAGTCCTGGCACACATGTTGGTCAGGAACTGATTGATTAAAGTGGATTAACTCCCTGCTGACCTTGCTTTGTATGCAGGCACTTGCTTCAGACCTGGCCAAGAAGATGTCTGATTGAAGCATTCCCTAAATTCTGAGCTCCCAGGCTATGTGAACATGCAAATTTCCACCACGGGTGTTTATGTTGCACTGGGCTGAGATCTGAATTTTCATGGTAGATAAGGGGGCACAAGGAATAGGGATGATTCTGTCATAGGAGATTGTCTTCTTATTGGGACCTTGCTTTTCAAAATGTTCGGATGAAACAGGCTTTTTGTTCTGTGTGATGTTTTTGAGAGCCAAATGTTGCAGCTAGTGCTGCTGGTTTGTGATGTTAGCCTATGATTGCATAGGCTCATTTATAGGAAAGTTCAGGATTGATTCTCTGGCCACTGTGAAGAGCAGATTAATGTGACAGGACACATATGTAACCTAATTCTGTTTTTATACGATTTATTCTGAATAAATGAGCAGTGCAAGCGGTCAAAATCTTATTTTACACCAGGGCTGGGAAACTTTAATCAGCCTGAAGTTTCCCACTGTGATAGGCAGCATTTCAGCTTCCCAGACTACCGTATAGGCTTCACTCCAGTTGTCACCATAGTCCCACAGATTTCTTCAGGCTGATGGGAGCGAAAAGGCCTCAGTGTTGCTGCTGATTTTCTGTGGCAAACCACTACAGAATGCTTGTTGTTTAGTCACAAAGTTGTGCCTGACCCATCACAACTCCATGGACAACATTCCTCCAGGCTCTCCTGTCCTCCACCATCCCTCAGAGTGAACCCAAATCCACACCCACTGCCCCAGTGACTCCATCTAGCCACCTCATCCTCTCCTGTTCCCTTCTCCTTTAGCTGTCAATCATTCCCAGCATCAGGGTCTTCTTCAGTGAGTTGTTCCTTCTCATTAGGTGGCCAAAGTATTTGAGTTTTGTCTTCAGTATCAGGGTCTACAGAATGCTACACTGCCCAAATTTAGCCTGGAAGCCTAATTTGGTTAACGTGGTGCTTTATATTGGTTTGCCACCATTTTTTTTTTTTTTTTTTGCCCTCCAAAAGAGGACATGGCTCAGTGGTACAGTGTGAGCTTTAATGCAGAATTCCCCAGGTTTAATCTCCAGCATCTACAAAAGTCTGAAAAAAATAATGTCTGACACCCTAAAGAGCTGCTGCCAGTAAGCAAAAATACTAGGCTAGATGGACCAGTTATTTGGCAAAGTATTAGGAATGTATGGATTCTTGTTTGGTTTGTTCTATTTGTGTTTTGTAGATTGTCAGGAGTTTTTCATTCCATTGTCCACTGATGATGTAATTGAAGGAGTTAGGGATGTATGAAAAGTTTGTTCCTGTTGGCAAATGCTCCTTAGCGTAAATAGTGTAAACACCTTGGTGCAACTTCACATGCATGAAAAATCCATCTCACCAAATCCAGTTGGAAGTTATAGAATCATAGAATACTAATGTTGGAAAGTACCTATGAAGGGCATCGAGTTCAGCCATCTGCTTGATGCAGAACTCAATGGAATTGATGCATCTCAGGGGAAAAACAGTGCTTTGCAGGTCAGATTGATAATAATATAAACCCATTCATTATAATAATATAAACTCATTCAGCTCTCATGTCGATTTTTTTAACATCTCTATTTGGTACAATCAGCTTTCTATGTTACTGTGACAATCTATACTTGCCCCCAGTTGCCTTTTTCATTTTTTCGGGTACACTGGATTGCAGCCACTCTCATTTTTATTTTCTAAGAATGCCTCTGGGACTGATGTGGGCTCCAGAGGCATTCCTGGAAATAAAAGCAATGCATTATGCAAAACTTGTTCTTTCAGATGGGGCCTTGAGCTCAAACCTTTTCTTTCTCACAGCAGTATTTCCATACACATGTTTAGTGAACACACAAACACTAGAATCTAAGAGCTCTTTATGATCATGTAAATTTAGTCTTCAGACTTCTTCTTGTTTGCCCTGTATATTTATATAGGAAACAGTGTAGTAGTGATTGAACGTAGTAATTTTATGACTCTAGTCTTTTTATAACAAGGAGTCCATGGGTGTTTTTGTTTTTGGGGGGGGGGGTTCTTTGTTTTCCTTTCCTTTCCTTTCCTTTCCTTTCCTTTCCTTTCCTTTCTTTTCTTTTCCTTCTTTCTTTTTCTTTTTCTTTTTCTTTCTTTTTTTTGGTGTACAAACAATACTCAGTATCCTAAGTACAAACAATTGTGCACTTTAAACTCTAGCTGCCTCTGTTGAGCCAATGGTCTGTTCAAACTGTTCTTTTTTAATCCCAGGCCTAATACTGCATTGTTGGATCCAAGTTCTCCTGAATTCTCTGCCATAGTTTCTGTTGGTGATTGGCTCCAAGCTATTAAGATGGAGCGATACAAGGATAACTTCACAGCTGCCAGCTATACTACCCTAGAGGCTGTGGTGCATATGAACCAGGAGTAAGTACTCAGCGGTAAAACAAAAAAACTGGTAAATCTGGATTTAATCGGCTTCTTTTGCTTTGCTCTGCATACCATTACATTCATTAGAGTTTTGGAATGCCTTTAGCCTAGAATGTGTATAATTTCAAAGTGCCTTTCACAATGCCTCCAGAAGTTTAATTAAACATTTATATACATTCACCTTGCTTTGCAGTATTTTCTTTTTCTGTGTTTGCTTATCTGTAATGTAATTTACTGAGCCAGCCTCTGGCTTCAGATTCTCACCTTTTGACTTATTTTTGCTCCATGCAGTGACCTGGCGAGAATTGGAATTACTGCCATTGCACACCAGAATAAGATTCTGAGCAGCGTCCAGGCAATGAGGACCCAAATGCAGCAAATGCACGGCAGAATGGTTCCGGTGTGAGCCAGTACTGAATAAACTCTAAACTCTTGAAATTAGTTTACCTCATCCATGCACTTTAATTGAAGAACTGCACTTTTTTTTACTTCTCCTTGCCGTTTGAAATAATAATGATACTGATGATGATGATGATGATGATGATTTGCAGCATTGATTGATATATAAAGATAGCTGAGAGTGTTGCAAGGAGAGAACCTACAGAAATGACAGTCCGTCATTTGAGAACAGCCCTGGAACAAATTGTTTCTTGGAATATACTTCTATGTGGATCGATATTATGTATTATACATGTATCTATAAAACATCACATACAAGTTCTGATGCTGTGTTTGCTGCCCAATACTGTGCTTAAACAAAGGAAAGTACTGGTGTTCCCTCAACAGCCATTGGGATTACAATCATTATGTTTGATCTGTGGGATAAACCACATTTGTTCATCTTTTATTGGAAGAAGACTCTTCTGTACCAGGAAATGTTGGCATACTTTGAGCATCAACAGTACTTTGCAGAAATCTTGAGACAGAATATCATTTAGTTGATTATTGCATCTCCTTCAAGGATTTGTCCGCTTGCAAGTGGAGACAGAAAACAATCCTCATGGATTACAGGATTATTATTTTATTATCATTATTATTTTGAGCAAGGAGTGTTGGTTGTTGTTTTGCCACAGTGAGTCCTAGCTCTCTCACCATTTCTGAAAACATCCCAGAGAGCTGTTCTTGGCCATGGATATTCCACATTTGCATCCTTTTGCCCTTCTAAGAGACGATTGTGCAACACTGAAAAGGTCAGTGGAAGTTTGACTTCCCCACTGTGATCATGGTAGCTTCATATCCTTACTGGTAAAAAGGAATGGAATTCTAGAGTTTAAGTAGTAAAATTATAATATATATGACAACAGTTTGTTTTCTTTGCACAGTGGAAGATTGAGATTCCACTGACTGGCCTCATCCCCAGTAGTAGCATATCTGACATACTTGCATTGGGCATCACTTTGGAGACCAAAATAAACTCATTTGGTGGTGTGCAAATTACCTAGAACATATCTACAGCATTGGAATGTCTCGCCATCACACACACTACAAACATCTGCATAGGCTTCTAGGAAAAAAGGCTGCATTAGTTTGCTAGACAGAAATTTGACAGTTCCCATATGCTCCTATATTTTGGAAAGTTCCTCACTCCTGCCATTCTCCATTTATCAGCCCAGCTTGGAACTGCCCTATGGCTAGTTTTGTGCCATCTGGACTTATTAATAACACATGGGATACATGGTAAAATAGGGATTGGTTGGCAGAGCAATGTATACCATTGGTTCAGTTTTCTTTAGATCAGATCTCACAATTATTCTTCACTTGCTTCTCCTCTTGAGCACAATTACAGAATTTATGTGACATCATATTTGTCTTGGGGCTGTCAGTGCTGGGACCTAATTTCAGCTCTTGAACATCCATTCATTATAAATCAGGGAACATGTTAAATGACGACAATCACTTTATTTATCCTTCTTAACACCACTGAGAGTTGGAAAAGCACTGTTTGCTAGTCCAGCATCACTTGCCAAGATCTTCCATATACAGTTGTTCATCTTAATCAGACTTTTGAAAAGAGATTGCCTTCTACCGTGCACCATATGTTACTCGTCTATTTTGAACAAATATTGTGTCAGTACAAGGAGTGCTGATAAAAGAGGAACTACTTAATTTATAATTGTTCCTCCTTTTTGCTCTGTTCTGTCATATCAAAAGTAGTGTGAAGCCTGATTCCATGTGTGTTTACCCGGAAGTCCCACTGAGTTAAATGGAGCTTACATCCAAAGAAGTTTCCATAGAGATTTCAGCCTTAGATCCAAACCACAAGTATTTTTGTAATCCAATAAGCTTATGGAGAAAGCTGTTGGTTTGGTTTAGAGAACATGAGCTGAGGCCACATGTTAGACCCATTTCAGCTGAGCATATTGTTTTGAGGATGGCAATATCACCCATTTGGTCCTTTGCTTTGATTTTTCCTCTCTCTAGTTCTATCTATTTGTTGCAGCAGGTTTAGCACAAAAAAAGTGACACTTGAGTTAGAAATCACATTTATTTTGAAGCCAGGAGTACTGAGTGAATTGAACAAGTCAAACCTGACAAATTCCAAACATCATTCGCATATTTTTTCTCTTTTTTTGTCACTTATAACAACAAGTTGCTGATTTTAACCACAAGCTTCCCCATGAACTTGATTCGGAGAGTCAGTCATTGGGAACAGGGGAAGCTAAATTTAGATCTTGTCAAACTGTGACAGCTTAGTAAAACTTTTTTTTTTTTTTTTTTGGTGGTGGTGGTGGGAGGGGGAATTATGCATAAAAGCTTTTTTATTTGGAACAATGTGTGTGGTGTGTGTTTTTAAGGTGACTTAAACAGTCATATTTTAACACCAAATGACTGGCGAATGTGAGGTTTGATATTCAGTAAAAATAACTTTGTGCTTTGCCAGCAAACCTACCATAGTTTCTGAATGCCAAATAAGATGAAAGAATGGAGATCCATGATCCAATGTCTGACCTCTAAATGTTTCCAAAAGATGCATTGTGGATGTGTGCATATCAAATTTGAATTAGGATTAGACTGAGAAAGATATAGAGATATCCATTAACTAGCAGTCCTGCCACCGGCATGTACTTCTAAGCTTTTCTTACCAGAGCAAAAAGCAACGAGGTGGCAGCAATTCTTACTGTGGAAAACAGCATGGGGATTAACATCCTCCTTTCTTCTAGTCTGGTCCCAATCCAAGTTGGCAGCCCTCTGCATTGTTTTTCCCTCATATTTATAGTGACAAGTAATCTGATCCTTGGATATTCCTAATCTTGTCTGGTTTGAACTTCAACTGTTGACAAACATCACATATTGCTACCAACCTAATATGGAGAATGTGAGCTATCCCTATAATATTATGCTTGGGTTTGATGAAATAATACATACCAGGAGAATACCTATCACATGCTCTAGATGCTAGTCAGCAATTTCCAGGTATGTTGCCTATCTTGTTAATGCAGCAGCCTGCTGTGTGTACTGATCAGAAATGCCCATATACCATGGAGTAGTCTCCAAACCCTGGACTTGTGGATCTCTGCATTAGACTGCTTGCTGAGTCCTCTCCATTCCTACACAGGCACACACACCAGTCTCTTACCTATGAAGGCATTTTCCTACATGCTAATTGTAGTGTGTGTAAGGCAGCCAAGCTGTAAACAAGCCCATGCCCCTGTGTAGATCTGTTAGATGCAACTGTTTAGTAAACTTTGCTTAAAAGGGGCCTTTATGAACATGGGAACTGCTTTCAGATGAAGTGTTGTTCCACCTGGCCTGGTACTGTTCCTGGTACTGTTCCACCCGGCCTGTTGTTCCACCCGGCCCTTCCTCTTTGACTGCCAGTCATATTTTAGGTTCTTGGGAGACATTCCTTTTGTTGGCAAAAGTGGTCAAACCAGGGAGTTTATGACTGCAAACCATCTGCTACATTTTTAGTAGAGTTACATTCTCTACTAAAAGGTTTGCCCTTCCTTTGTCTTAGAGCATGTTTGTAAAATGAACAAAGGAATTTCTTAACTGAAAGTAAGACTCATGCTCCCAGGACCAACACATAATATCTATACCTAACGAAGACTGTTTTTAAATATGAAGCATTCAAATTTCCCATGCCTTCTGCCATGGTTGTATTCTAAGCTGGACTGGGACATAAGCAACATCATTTAGAAGAGAAATATCCGAGTCAGGCCTTTAGTATGATGAAATTCAAAGGTGTGCCCAGTATCGGTGCTGTGCCAAACATTCAGTACTTTAGGATTTCCTGTGCTGTGATGTTACATTATACTGATGTACTTTTTCTTTGCTTTTTGATAGGTAAAAGGATGCTGCTTTCTTGGACTCAGCCCTTCTTAGTGCCCATGATGCCCTAGGAGAAGAAAAGGCCAGAGCCAGAAGCCTTACAGTATGCCAGTTTACCCAGCACTAACTGTAGAGAAGATGAACTGTGTAGAAATAGCTCTGCTTCCTAAAGAGCACCTCTTTGACGTTCTTCCTTTTCTTTTTCTTTTATTGTCAGCAACAAAAACAAGACAATAAGGTTCAGATGTGGCTCTTTCATTATCACTTGAGGAATGTACTGTGTCAAAGCCCTACAGACTTCTCTTTCCTCATTCCATTTATTTAAGCAGATCCCAAGGGTATGGAATGGGCTTCCATGGGAGGTGGTTGAGGCCCCATCAGTGAGGGTGCTCAAGGATAGGCTAGACATGCACATGGTGGGCATGTCGTGAGCAGAGCCGGCTGGAGCTGGGGGTCAGACTAAATGGCCCAGGAGGCCCCTTCTGACTCGCTCTGTTTCTATGTTTCTCTATATATAATTTGTGGCGGGATGTTGTTTTCTGCATGTTACTGCTACATCGGTATGAGTGTAAGTAGTGGAGCCCTACAAACCATTATAATGGACACCAGAGCCAGGTATCATGGCACACAACCAAGCTGAGACTGCTTGTGACAGTAAAGTGATGATTTACAGAAAGTGTGCCATTGTGACAATATTGGTATTTTAAAATATAATGGAAAATAACTTATTATCTCTTCTTGGAATGCGTGGGGTGATGTATGTTAGTGTGTGTGTGTGGGGGGGCATGCATGCCCATCTGTGTGTGTGCATGTGTTGCCTGTTGCGCAGGATTACCTGTGAACATGCAGATTGCATCTCAAGATAACTTAATGGTTTGTTGCTGAGCTGTTGAGTTACCAGGCCAGTATGTGAGCTATGCAATGAAACACACACACTCCTGAATGTTCCAGTTCTGTATCTATTCATGTATTATGTAGCCGTCACACTAACCTTAACAAATAGTCTCCAGCCTAGAACAGGGGCACTTTCACCTTAGTTGTGGAGTGATCCATAGTGAGTTCCATGATGGTGATAAAGAGTGACATCAATAGCCATTAATCTTACTGAAGCCTGTTTATTGTTGAAGCAGCAGGACCTTACGGTGAAGATAAAGTCTTCATTCATCAGTAGGCTGTTTTCAACTGAATCATTAAATAACCTTTACCCCCCACACTTCCTGAAAAAAATTGTCTTCAAAAGGCTTATTGAACATAAACCAAATATGCAATCATTATCCATTCACAGAAGTAAATGGCTCAGTGCAGCACTTGTGAAGAGTTTGGGTCTGTAAACTGACTTTTGAGCAATATACTTTATTTTTGCCCAAGATTACAGAAGATGTTGAAAATTAGCAAGAGGTTTGCAAAAACTCCAGTGGTCCTAACATAGATAAATCACTCTACAAGGCTGCGAGAGAGGTTTGTTGTGGTAACGAACTTAGTGGTTCTACCTAGGAAAGTTTACAGAGTCTGGAGAGTTCACTGCTAATTTTCTGTATGGTGTTCTTGGAGGCAAGCTGAATGCAGGAGCCTAGGGAATGAACTGCCATACCGTATCTTGAGCTCAGCGGTTGATGCGCTCGACCTGCTTTCTGGTGGTAGAAGACTCTCCCCTACTGAGATGCGATGCAGCACAGCAAACTGAAAAAGGACAGTCAAACCAACATGCCTTGGGGGGAAATCAAAGGAAAGAATGTGTAAATACTGCATTAAAATGTTTGGCATTCAATAAGGCCCTAAAATGGCATCTCAGGAGTTATTTTTCATTCTTGTCTCACCATCCCTTCCCTTTCTTGTACAGGGAATTGTACACCCTTGTTTTTTTGCTCATGTAGTTGTGTTGCTAACAGGCACAACAGTTAAGGAGCCAAGAGGCATAAACTATGGACTGTAAATCTAGCATTATTAGACTGAAGGCAAATGTACTAAATATGACTTGGATGCGGGGAACCAGACATACATGCTCAAAAACAACCAGAATTGAATAGAGAACTGGCCTTCATTTCTTCCTGGTTACAGAAGAAACATCAAGAGAACTCTTAACACAGCAAACCTCTGTACATTAGGAAATTGTTTTGCTCACAACCTCACTGGTTGATGTTGTCCCGGTTTCTTGCTGTATTAACTTTGTGATGGATCTATGTATTAAATATATATATATATATGTATAAACAAAAATAAGCTGGTTATTTCCAGCAAACAGAACTTCAAAGCAGTATTTTTCTTTTACATGACATTTTCATAACCAGAAAGAAAGCATCCTGAATAATAATTAGATGAATAAAAAAGAGTGCATTTATTTTTTGTATCACTACAAGTATGTTGGAATATGCAAGGACTGTGGTTTAAAAATTAGAATGTATGAGGCATATAATAATTTAGTCCATACTGGGAAAAATCTTAACAGTGCATTACTTGGTTTGCAAATTTGAATGATCTCTCAGTTAGAAATATAGATTTTCTATTTTGTTTTAATTTGTAATTTTCCCCTCTCCATCAATCTTAGGTACACATAACTTATGTCATTTATTTATGGTCTTTTATACCTAGTTTGTAAAATTGTAAAATAGCAAACTAAATGCAAAAGTTTGCATTTGAAAATAATAAAGTAGTTGCTGTACAAATTCAAATGTTATTTGTGATATATAGTTGTATGTACATCCTTTCAGATCAGAACTGCATAAAATCATGTTTGCTAACACAGACACAATGTGTATATAATTGACACAAAAAGCAGATGCAATGCTAATTCTGTGTCATGTCAGATCACGTGTGGGAGATGCTTTCATACGAAGAACATTACTGAGATACAGAAAGCTGACTCATCAGGGAGAAGACTAGTTAGAACATTCATCCTAATACCTAGTTTTCTATATATACAGGGACTTTTTTGTATTTTGATAGTGCTATAATCTAGAAGTCCTCGTCTGTTTTGGCCAATGCAATAATTTATCTGGAGATGACCGAAAGAGCAACCTCTGGCTACCAGACAGCAGCTAGAGGACCATAGGATAATTCAAATTCCCAGATCCATGCCTGGAAAGGAGCTCTGACCTTGGAACTGGAAATCTGCCCTTGAATTCCCCTTACCCTTCACAGCTGGCATGGAATGAACTTCCAGCTGCTTCCCTGAGGTGGAACAGCTGAAATCAGAGAAGGGGTAAAGACAGAATGGGGGAGGTTGCCCACCAAGATATCTACTTGATTGACTGATAAATTGGTTGATGTTGCCCCACTAGCCTTAGGCTCCCTGGTTGGCTTACACCATGTTAAAATTCATAAATTGCATAAGAAGCGTACAGTACATAACGCAGAACTCACAATGACAAAAGACCAATAACAATGAAATACATAAGTAATCCACCAAAATTAAATAAAACAAACTAAGAATAATAAAACAAATGAATAATATATATTATATAAGAATCCAAAAATCAAAGATGGGCCAATTGAAATTTATTCAAGGTATGGCACATCCTGACAAGGCTCAAGCCTCTTTCCTTCCCTATTCAAAGTAGGGCTTGAAAGTTTTGTTAAATGGCCAAAATTGGTTGTTTGGCCCATTTGCATAATAAGCAAAGCCGAGAGACAAGAGGTGGCTCCACGCTTCTTCCACCTGGCAAAGAATGGCCATAATATTCCATGTCTGAAGACTTGCAAGCATCCCCCTGGATTGTGTCCTAACATCATAATCCCAAGTGTGTTTCTCCAGAAGTAAGTTTAGCTTCAGTTAGACTAACTCTATAATAAGGTTGTTTAAGATTGCAGCCTAACATAAATCCCACTAATTTCAGTTACACAGGCCCAAATTTAAGTGATAGGATATCTACTGAATACCATAGAAACACAAAAAAGGATACAATGTTCATATTTTATAAAGGATATAAATTTACCAAGTGCTGTAAATACAGAGATAAGAAACAAGGCAGTCCCAGATCACGTAGGCTTAAAGTAAAGAAGAAACAAACAAACAAACAAAAAGATGTTGAGGGACTAGGAAAACTATTGAAGTGGAGCACTTTTTTAAAACAAATGGAAAACAGTTCTGAGAGAGGAAGTGCCAAATGGCAACTGATGGCCTGGGATCTATTGTCCCATCTCTCCTTCAGCTACAGCCTGGTGGAATGTCTCTCAGTTCATGAAACGGGCCAACTCTTCCCTTTTTTCTGTGCTGCATCAATATGGCTAAACAGAAGTCTAGTTTGCTTGCCTTCCTGCCGTATGATGGCATAAATGAAGGGAATAACAGGTGTGTATGGGGAAGGGGGAAATAAAGAGCACAAACTAGTAGTAAAGAGCCAGTGTGGGGTAGTGGTTAAGAGCATGGGACTGGGACTCAGGCGATCTGGGTTCTAATCCCCGTTTGGCCATGGAGCCAACTGGGTGACTTTGGGCCAGTCTCAGCCCAACCTACCTCACAGGGTTGTTGCTGTGGGGATAAGATGGAGGAGGAGAGATGATGTAAGCTGCCTTGAGCCCTTGGTAGGAAAAAGGCAGGATATAAATCAGAAAATAAATAAATAAATAAATAAATAAATTCTCTGGTGGACAAGAGATTGAGTAGACTGTGAATGTGTGAACATGAAGACCAAGAGAAACCAAAGAATTTAAAAGCTCCCTGAAAGAAACAGGGATAGTTCTATGCACCCAATAGCCAAAATTCTCTGAGCAGATCACAGCAGTTAAAATCTGCATAAAATACATGATAAAATGTAATTTAAACTACAGTATAAAATAAAAAATAATAACCAAATAAAATTTATCAGCAAAGATTTAAATACAACTATGAATTTAAAATATCAAGAAACTTGTCCTGGAGAAAGCAAGAGGGTCCTCATTGACACGAAACAGAGCACAATGCGATGCCAGGTAACCTCTCTGGAAAGCTCAAGATGAATCTGAAATGAAACTGATACTTTGAGGATTGGTAACATCCAAAAGCAGAAACAGACATTTTAAATCCATATGCAACAGTGATAGCTTTAAAAACACTGTACTCTCCACAGAACATAAAGAGTGGGGCTGGAGTGGTGGGGAGAGCAATTAATTTATGCACCTGTGGTCCTGGCAAAAATTGCCAACATAGCTGCTATGGAAGAGATGCTTTCTTTGGTGCCAGTGGAAACTTTCATCTGGCTGCTCTTGATTTTGAGGGCAATTTTCATTGGAACTGCAGAGGGATGAGGCCTGCAACCCCCTGCCCAAGTGCCCATTTCAGAAGTTTGCACTGCAGCCATGTAAACCTAAGCAATAAATGCATCTATTTCCTTCAGCTTGACAGCATAACATGGACTGTGATATAGAAATTAAGGTGGGTACCAGAATGAAAAAAAGGAAGTGTTTATACTTGAACAAAATTTCTGACACTTCTTGTCTTGACCAATTCTAACTTTCTCAAGCAGAATGGAAGAACAACTGCATTATTTTATTTCCTTGTATATAAAAATCACTTTTATATTTAAAGTCACTTAACAAATGTTAAAAAGAAATATATATTATATATATTTAAATAACAAAACAAAAACAAATCAATGTTAAAAATTTTCAGTACTAACAACAGAAATAAAGCCCCCTCTTTAAAAAAAAGCAAATCAAAATAAGCAAAACCAAAATAACACCAACATTAAATTAAGGTGTCATCTAAAAGTTAATATATAAAAAGCAAAATGTATCACTTGGAAGAAGGAGACTGTCAATGGAGAACATCAGTAGGGGACCATGCTTGAAAAGGCCAAGTCCCCTATGCCTGTCTATCTGATCTCTGCAAACAGGACCTTTCTAACTATTCTAATATATTAGGACAAGTCTGTACAGGAGCAGGGAGTTCTTCAAATACCTTGGTACTAAACCATCTTAGGCTTTAATGGTCAGTACCTTTGAAGGGACCTTGAAAACAAATAGGCAGCCAACACCCTTTCTGCAAAATAGGTGTAATGTCATCTGGCCAGTTTCCAGGCATATATATGAAATCTTTCATTCCAATCCTTATCAGATGTGGAGAAACACCTAGTCTAGTACACACAGGTTCAAGCTACACATTATCTTAATGACATACTGTAGCTTTTTGTGGTAATGTTGTGTGAGTGCAATTCAGATTAGGAACACTACACAAGATGGAGAGGATCAACACCCTCCCTACACACACACACACACACACACACACACACGGAAACACATGGGGCTTAAAGGAAGGAAGAGCCTCAATTGTGTTAGTAGACATTTCCGTCCCCCTCATACCCCACCCCAGCATTCAGGGAGCAAATAGTTGTGGGGAAAGTTTAATTTCTCCCTCATGCTGTGTTCCAAAATCAAATTGAGCCTGTGAACACATACCCTTGAGTAAAATTTCATCATTTTACTGTTCCATGGCACTGAGGGTTCAATCACATGAAGAGGCATCTAATTTTGTAAGAGATCTTGAATTTGTATTGCAGTCAAGAATCATAACTGAACTTAGTTGATCCTACAAGATGTGGCCAGGATTACAAAGTAGGACAGTGCATATTCCCATTTCTAACAATGAGCTAAACACAGCAGAGGAAAAAAGGGCTTCCTGGATTCCCTGCTTTGTTTTAATGAAGACAGAATCTAGGGAGATCTAGGGTGCTGCAGACTTTTCCATCCTCTGCATACTTCGTCAATCGATTAACCCTCTGCTTATGGTGACTGGAGGGATCACAGGTCAGTCTGCTGGTTGAATCATAAAAAGAAGGGCAAGATGCCCATGGATATTTTGTTCCGTCAGTAAATGCTGTGCTTATAAGAAGGCCATTCTCACTTCCAAAAGGGTACTGAGAGTTCAAGCAGTTAGATTTAAATGTGAAGGCCATTTTTCCCAGACAGAGCAGTCTAACAAAATCAAAAACTTAGCAGCAAACCAATTAGTGTTTTAGAAACAGAGCAAGGGGTCACCTACAGTTCAGGAGTTCATAGAAAATAGTTCACCCAAACTAGGACAGGTGAGTCCAAAACTGGTAAGAAAAGTGCAGAGATTCATGCTGTCAGATTAAAATTATCAGTTTAGCTCAACAAAAGAGTGAAACTGCAACCATTTTTAATAATGGATTTTCATATCCTGAATGTTTGTGCCACCATCTGTTAAACCTGAAAATAATTTATACTTTTTTGCAGTTCAGGGAGAAGCAACATTTGGTGCACCTTCAAAACTATTTCCAGGGCAACCCAGAAGGATAGAGGCTGTGTGAATCTCCTTTGCAGTATGGTTCATTCCATACAAATGTGATATGTGATATTAAGGACTAGGAGATGCTCCTTTTCTAGAAATAAATGAAGTAAACAATGAGCATATCAAACTTTTTAAATTTGTTCTTTTTTGGTTCATGCTGATTTTCCAGGGACAATTTTCAGGGACAATTTTATATAGCACTGAAAGATGTAGCTCTCTGTTTAAGAGTCTTGAGGCAGTATAATCCATCCTACTACATCAGGAATCCTTCTCATTTCATTTTTCTGTATGTGTTCATGAAGATCTAGAAGGAGGGACACCTCTGAGTAGATACATGCAATGAACTAAAGAGACTGGCTTCTAGAGTTTCTGTGCAAAGGGCTAAAATGAATGATGCTATTGAGCTAATATCCCAATAATACTGAATTGGATCTGGGATCTGCC